AAGGCCAAAAGAAAACAGCAGCAAAAACAGCAGCAAAAAACAGCAGCAAAAACAGCAGCAAAAAACAGCAGCAAAAACAGCAGCAAAAAACAGCAGCAAAGAACAGCAGTAAAATAGCAGCAAAACAACAGCCAATTGCAGCTACAAAATACAATAAATAAATTATAATTCTAAATTTTCAGAAAAAAAATATCCAAAATTTGAAAATATTTTTGGAAATAATGGAATTTTCGATAATATTTAGTGCTTCACCTTATTAATTCGTATTGTATTCCTTACCAAAAATTATCAAATTTCAAAACCAAAACATGTTTGAAATCAGACATTATCAAATTTCAAAACCAAAACATGTTTGAAATCAGAAAAATTTATATAAAAAAAATCTGAAATAATGGGATGAAAAATCAAAAAACCTAAAGCGACGAAGCATTTTCGCATACCTTATAATCAACAACGGCCGACGAGAACGAGAACCATATAGAGGGAATGAGACAAATCGTTCTGCGTTTTGGGAAAACATACCAACTTCGTGGGTAAGCGGATCTCGTCAGCGAGTGAGAAGACGATTAATAGGATGGACAGATCTGGTAGTATGTAACGAGGGACGGCGGCCGAGGAGGAGAAGGGCGGAGATGGTGTGGTCATCCGGTGAGGCGGCGAGGTTGTGGAGCGAGATTATGGCGTGATTGTGGAGAGAAGGAAGGAAGAAGATGAAGCGAGGTTGTGGGGCGAGCGTGATTATTTCGTGATTGTGGAGAGAAGGAAGGGAGAAGAGGAATAAGTGAAGGGACGTGTTTCGGGTTTGAGTAGGTTAAAAAAATTCAGAAAGGGTATAACAGGTTATTAATAATATAATTTGTTTAAGGGGTAAGTATAGATAAATCCCCAAATACAAACTTAAAGCGCGGATCAGTCCCTACAGACGTTTTATAGGCGGATCAGTCCCTACTGCAGAGTTTCACATGCAGTTCAGTCCCTATGTTTGCATTATTATATTATTTTTTTCTCTCTCTGTCTCTCTCTTCATTTAATTTTTCTCTCTCTTCCTTTTTTCTTCATTTTCTCTTTCCTCTTTCCACTTTTTCTCTTTATCTTTGCTCTTTTCTTTCCTTGCCACTTCCAATTCAAAACTCAATTTTCAGTTAATTTTCTTCAAATAACAAACGAAAAGGCACAAGAAAAAACTTGTGAAGAAAACAAAATGAAAAGAGGAAAGAGACACATTCTCAAAGAATTGTGAAGGGGAAGAAACAAGATTTGATTTTTTTTTCTAGTCACATATTTAAAAGATGTTTGATAGTTTCATATAGGTTCTGCGAAAGACGCTTCTCGTATTATTTTTTGAAACATTTTGTGTTTTATATGACGGTAGTAGTATATGTCGTATTAATCAATAGTGTTGCTAGTGTGGTTGGATGGTGTTGAAATAAGAGATGAAAAGTACTAGTATTGCTAGTCATATTGTAGAATAAATGCATCAACATGGTACGCTTACGTCTAGAATCAGGTATATTTGGTTCAGTGGTGAAGTACATGTTGTCTAAGTGAGTATCATGTCAGCATTTTGTGGCATTTTGAACTCTAAACGCAACACCATTGTTCATCAATCTTAAAATAGTCATTTAAAATATATTTTATGTCCCTCCCACACTCAATAATCACTAAATTTATTATGAAATTGGTACAATTCAATTCATTATAATTATGGAACAATTTATTCTACATAAAAATGAATGCATTACACCGGTGATGCTCGTGTTGTCCATTCATAGAGTACACTTCTTTCAATGAAAAAGTAGATGTTCTCCATTTATATGGTACGCTTGCACACTTGCTTTATAGATATTATTTTGGGACCAATTTTGCTTTATATGATATAAACTCATTTTCTGAGGTATTCCTTCATTTTATGACTAATTACATGAAATGAGATAACGTGGGAATCCATCAACATCAATTATGGTAACATTTGAGAAAAATACTAATCATACATACAAGTCTTGTACTATATGTGAATATCATGTAGGAAATCAAACACATTTGTGGACTCCAAACGTAACACCAATGTTCACCAAACTTAAAATACTCATCTAAAACATAATTTATGCATCTCCCATACTAATTCATCATTAAAATGTCAAGGAAATTGGTTCAACTCAATTTATCACAAAATATAGTATGTTTTGTTCCACAAGTTATAAGTACAATGTATAAACTGGTAAAGTTAGAGTTATTCATGCATATAGTATTGTAAGTTTATTCATAAAGTATATGTTGTCCATTTATATTGTACTGTTATATTCTTTATATTATTGTGGGGTCAATGCATCAATATAATATCATTTTAAGACGCATTTCTTCATTTTAAGACTATCAATATGAAATGAGATGATGTAGGAGTTGATCAACATAGATGATGACAACATTTGAGGGAAATTTTAGCTCTACGCATGAGCCTTATACACTTATATGAGTATCATGTAACAAATCCAACACATTTATGGTATCTTGTACATTTATATGAGTATCATGTATGAAATTCAACGTATTTATGGCATTTTGTACCCCAAACGCAACAATAATGCTCACTAACCTTAACATACACACCTAAATCATAATGTATGCATCTCCCATACTAATTGATCATTAAAGTGTCATGGAAATCGGTATAACTCAATTCATCACAAACTATAGTCCAATGTGTGAAACACGTAAGTACAGTGAATACAGATGTGAAGTACATGTCTAGAATTGACACGGTATCTTTAAATAAACTAGAAAATAGTTGTTGTTCATTAGTATGGTACGCTTATATTATTTGTATTAATTTGTGGCCAAGTCAACCATATGAACTCAATTCATAACAAAATATAGTACCATGTGTTCAACAGGTAAGTGCAATTCATCAAAATATATGGTACGATGTTTTCAATATAAAGTACGAGTAGAGATGACCAATAGTATTGTTAGCTCTATAACAAAGTACATATTCTTGCAACTACATACACATAATTACAATTATATCAAATACAACCTACTATAAAGTTCCACTATTAGTACTTCCAATACTCTCTTTCAACACCATCCAAATGCACTAGGAATACCAATGGCATATACTACAACATCACCAAGAATAATACAATAAATATTTTTCGCATTTCCTATATCAAAGCCATCAAACATCATACATCAAATCCTTGATAGGACTAAAAATGCTTTGGGAACAAACTAATGTCGCCGAATAATAATACCCAAGAGAGGAGTGTTCAAAATCGACAATAAATAAATGATCTTTGCAAACTCGAACAACAAAATAATAGATATTGGAACCGAGTTAATGATTAGGGGAAACAAATCAAAACTTATTTCTTCCCCTTCACCATTCTTCGAAAATGGGTCTCTTTCCTCCTTTCTTTTTGTTTTTTTCTTCTTCTACTACATTGGTTCTTCCTTTTCTTTGTTCTTGTTGCTTCATTTGTATTCATTTAGGAGCTTGTTTTCTTGCGCCTCTTCGTGTTCATTTTTGTTTGTTGTTTGAAGAAAAATAACAGAAATTGAATTGGAACATGCAAGAAAAGGAGAGAGAAGAGACATAGAAAAAGAGGAAAGAGGAAAGAGAGAAGAAAAAGAAAAGTAAGAGAGAGAAAATGAAAAAGTATGTAATTTCAGATTAAAGTAAATGGTATTTTAGAATTTTCACTTGCCTCTAGGGATTGAACTGCATGTGAAACTTTGCATTAGGGACTGATACACCTATAAAACGTCTGTAGAGACTGATCCGCAGTTTAAGTTTGTGTTTGGGGATTTATATGTACTTACCCCTTTGTTAATAAAATACAATTGGATTTATCCCAAAAAGGAAGAAAAAAAAAGGATTTAGTCTAATGATACATTGTATATGAAGGGGTTATCTCAAATAATCCCAAAAATAATTTGTTTCGTTGATTTCTTTTTTTATTATTAAAAATTATAACTAGTCTATTTTAAATTTATAATTACTTTTCAGCCCCAAAAAAATTTAAAATTTCAATTTTTACCCCAAAATAGTATTTTCCGTTACTTGCTAACAGACATGTAACGGCAGGGGCCAAAAGTGTTTAAAACTGAAACTTGGAGGTGAACTTTGTTCACTTTGGAACAAGGGGGACCAAAAGTGAAATTGGGCCAAATGAGGGACCAAACTATACTATTTTAAAGGGGTCTAGATGTAATTAGGCAATTATAACCATTTCACGAGGGAGTATTGTCTAGTCAGCACATCAAACAACAGACTATCTGTCTCTGCCTTTTCAGTGCATTCATATCAGTCTCCAATAAGAGTAAAATCATCTCTGCTATTATAAAAACCTACTATCAACCCTAACTCTTCGGCCATTTCAAGAATCTCTATCATACACATTTTATAAAATAAGCAATATCCCCAGCTAAATAGCAAACCCTACTTAAGTTCAAAATCTTGCCAGAATGATACATTTTGATAGTAAAAAATTAAGAACAAAACTTAGAGGGGAGGTAATGAACAATGATTAAGTGTCTAGAAAAACACTTTGTAATTATACTATTTTGAAGGGGTCTATATGTAATTAGCCAATTATAACCATTTCATGAGGGAGTAGTCCAAGGTAGACAGGGCCACGGGCCGGGTTTGCCCGGACCGACCCGAAAACCGCCCCACCCCATTGACCATGGACTCGGATACGACAAAGTATGGGTCGGTTTCAGGTCCCGTTTTTTGGACCCGAGACCCGACGGGTCTACCCGGCTGGGGGGCCCGAGGACCCGACCCGAGTACCCGTCGGGTCCACCCGAATTTTAAGTGAAATAACACAAAAAATGGTCGGTCTGGGGTTCGAACCCGAGTGGTCTGAGTGGTTTTAGTAAAGTTACTTATTGTTATACTAATCCTAGCTATAAATATATAAATATAAATAACACTGCTAAAATAATTATAATAATTATAAAACTAATGTTTAACAAACTCTGCCTTTACATTTCATTTTCACTGCAGTAGAATTTTCTTCACAAAAATCGCTTTAAGAAGATGAGGATTTCTGCAATAGCGCCTTCTATTCGTAGAGCGATTTCTGCTAAATCTTCTACTTATTACGGTATTTTTGCTGATCCGTTCTCTTTATTTTCTTTAAATTTTCATAGCAAAGATACACTTTTTTCACCTAATTTCAGAAGAGATTTGAGCTGTGAAACTGAAGTCGATGAAGCAATTTTCTTGTTTCGCAAAATGGTGAGAATGCGGCCATTTGAATTCACCAAACAATTAAAAGTTATTGTCAATTTGAAACAATACTCGGTTGCCCTCAAACTGTTCGACGAAATGCGTGAACTGGGTGCCCCTGTAAATGAGTACACAATGAACATCTTGATTAATTGTTGCTGCCATTTGAAGCGTGTAGACGTTGGTTTTGCTGTCTTCGGCATCTTCTTTAAACACGGTTACGCGGCAGACGTTGTGACATTCACCACTCTTCTAAAAGGGCTCTTTCTAGATGGTAAGGTGGCCGAGGCGGAGAAATTGTTTAAGCAGCTTTTGACTTTGAGACTTTGTGAACCCGATGATTTTACAATTGTTACTGTGATAAACGGGCTCTGCAAAAATGGACACGTTCTTCCTGCGCATGATTTGCTTTGCTTATTGGAAAAGACTATTTATAAACCCAATGTTATGGCTTATAGCGCGGTGATTAATGGCTTATGCAAGACTGAAATGGTGGATAATGCACTCGAGCTGAAGTCTAGAATGATTGACAAGGGAATTTCACCTGACGTCGTCACATATAACTCGATGATTCAGGGCCTGAGCGATTTAGGTAGATGGAAAGAGGTCAAAGACTTATTGAATGAAATGGTCAACCAAAAGATTTGTTTAACTGTTGTTACTTTCAATATATTAGTGGACTCATTTTGCAAGGAGGGAAATGTTAAGGAGGCTGAGGATGTTTTTGAAATTATGACGAGACAAAATATTTATCCTAATATTGTCACGTACAATGCATTGATAGATGGGTATTGTTTGCAAGGGAAAATGGATAGAGCGAAAGAAGTGTTTGATTCCATAACAGGCAACGGCCTTAAGCCATGCATTATCAGCTATAACTCTTTAATCAACGGGTATTGCAAGAATGGTAAAGTGGATGAAGCTTGGCGTCTTTTTCTCGAAGTTTCTTCTAAAGGCTTAGAACACACGACAGTTACATATAGTATCATGATACACGGATTATTAAGTGAAGGTAGAAACGCTGATGGATGGAAACTTTATAAGGATATGGAAGCTCGGCAAGTACATCCTAATTTATATACTTGCAATATTTTGTTGGAAGGCTTGTGCAAGACTCATCAGATTGCCGAAGCATTTTCATTTCTACGGGTGATGGAAGACAACGGATTAAGTCCTAATATAATCACATACGGGATCCTGATTAATGGTTTATGCAAAGATGGGAAACTTGAAGATGCAAAAAAGCTTTTAAACGAACTTCCTTCCAAAGGGTTGAAACCCGATAATCACATATATGCTATCATTATTGGTTCACTTTGTGAAGAAGGGTTCGTAGACGAGGCAAAAGATTTTCTTATAAAAATGGAGAGAAGTGGTTGCGCACCGGATAGCATGACATACAACATCATTATCCAGGGTTTGCTAAAGAAGAAAGAGTTTGACAAGGCAATCCCATACTTAGAGGAAATGCACAAAAAGGGATTCTTAGCCGATGCATCGACTTCGTCCATGTTAATTAATCACTTGCAAGGATCCAAAAAAAATGATGTTCTTTTAGAAATGATGAAGAAAGTTGTGCCGAAAATGTAAATTATTTAATTTCGGCTTGTCAAGTTTAATTAGTTTTTTGGAATATTGAAAATGACTTGTTGGTCATTATTGATTTTTCTTTTCTTCTTGAATTTCTAATTTCTATTTGGGCTTCTGCATTGTCCTCCCAATGATATTCGTGTTTCATGTTTTTGTGATTGTGATTGGCTGGTTGTCGACTCATATTTGTATTTGTTTGCTTAGGTCTCGTTTTGTTTGCCAAAATAAGATTAGTCAAGAGAAGATTAAATAGCCTAATGAAAACCCAATTATTTTGATCGGACCCTGAAATATCCAATGAAAAAGCTCCCTAAAATGCAAGATAACATAATTTTTGCATGTCGACCTGATAAGTTATTGCAGATATCAAACATCAAACAAAGTCTAATTATTTAGTTAATATATTCATCAATTATCCAAAACAAAATGAAAAGAAAATAACAAGAAAAAGAATGCCCAAAGGTCAATATGGACAATATTGATATCAGCCTCAACATCAGAGTGGTCATCACCATGCACGCATTCTGTTTCAGAATCACCTACATACCTTATTTCCTCCTCTAACTCTGAAAATTGTACAGATTCTCCTAACCTTTTCGATTCAGACTAACTTTCACTTGAATTTTCTTCGAATTAGTAAGTCCAAATATGATTGTGTAACTTTTATTTTTGTTTAACCCATAAACAAAGATAAAAGATGAATCTTTTAAGAGAATTACTGTACAACCTCGATAAATTAATACTCGATAAATGAATAACCTCGTTTAAATAATATATTTTTTTGGTTCCGACTCGAAGCTAACGAACGTGTTTAAAAATATTTTGTTAAATTAAAATTTCGCTATATTTATAGAATTTGGCTGGTCCCGACAGTAATAATTTGTAGAGGTTTTTAACTGTAGTACTAACCTCTACTATTATAGTAAATGTCTAGGGTTTGAATCATACCACCCTCCCATAGTTTCCCAATTTATATCAAATTTTGAATTTCTAAGTAAATAAAAAATAAAGTTAACTATGGTTTGATTAAAAGAAGCAAGATATATTGATTTAGTATCGGTAACTTTACTTGAATTATAGGGATAATTATAATTTTGGTCCCCCAAGTTTGCATGTTTTTCACTTTTGGTCCCCCATTTACCGCCGTCAACAAAATACACACTAGTGTTATCACATTTTAACACATTTAGTCCCTCCGTCTGTTTGACCGTTAAGTTGTAACGGTCAACGGTTGAATTTGGGGGTTTTCTTTGAGAAAATTGCAATAAGACCCCTGTATTCTTTCAAAATATTATACAAACCTCTAAAATTTTATCAAATCATAATTTAACCCCAATTTCATCAATTAACCAATTTTAACCACTGAACCCCATTTTTCAAAATTTGGTAATCCGATGTTGACTTTCTTCTTAACTCGGTTAACTCTTTTTTCCGATTGATCTTTTTTTGCCGCCGTTGACCAATATTGAATGTCGGGTTAACAGGCGTTGACATTTTTTTTCTTGATTTTTAATTTATTTTCATTAAATTGTTGAGTAATGGAAAAATATAATTAAAAAAAAATTCAAAGCTGATAATCGGTGAGAAAATAATATCATAAAAAAAGTCAAAATAAAGAAAAAAGGAAAAAGTCAACGCATTATCTCAATGATGGAAATATTTTAATACAAAAAAAAAAGATAAAAATTAACGGCCGGTGTTAGCCCCAAAAACCGTTGTAGTAGAGTGGTTATCTCATTCCAAATTACTCTGCACATGCCTAATTCATCTTATTAATATTTTTTTTGGAAGAAATTTGGGATGCACTGGCGCTTCCATGAAGAAAAAATTGAAGGGAATAAACAATGGATTTTAGATTTTTTTTTTTAAATTGTATTTAGGCCATAGAAGATAAAAACTTTTTTAGAAGTTTATAATGTTAATATTACAATACTAGATATTAATATAGTATTATCATTGTGTTATACAATAATTGTGTTGATCGGGAAAGAAAAAGTAACAGGAAAAAGTTTGAAAAAAATCAAGAAAAATAAAAAAGTCAACATTGTTAACCGAGAATACAATGCCGGTGAACGGCGTCAAAAACAATATTAAAAAAAAAAGTCAATGTCGAAAAAAACGTAAAAAAAAAAAAAAAAATCAACGGCGGTCAACGGTCAGCGGCAATGGTGGTAAAAATCGGGGTCGTTTGTCAAAATTTATTAAATAATGAAATTGTGGTTAAATTATGGTTGAATAAAATTTTAGGGGTTTTTAGAATATTTTAGAAGAATGCAGGGGTCAGAGTGCAATTTCTCTATGAAAAATCTCAAATTCAGCCGTAATTCAACAGTTGACCGTTACTTCTTGACGGTCAAACAGACGGAGGGACTAAATGTGTTAAAATGTGACAATATTAGTGTGTATTTTATTGACGGCGGTAAATAAAGGACCAAAAGTGAAAAACGTGAAACTCAGGGGACCAAAACTGTAATTATCCATGAATTATATGTTGCACTAAAGAAAGGGTATTCCATTACCATCAATGAATAAAGGGTAAATAGCACTTTACCCCTTGTGGTTTCAACTAGTTGCACTTAACCCCTATCATATCAATTTAGGCCTTTTACCCTCAGGTGGTTTGCACAATTTAGCGACCGGTCTACCCGTTAAAGGTTAACAGAGTGTGCATCTCACTCGCTCGAAAAATGAATTTGTTGAGTTTTTTTTAACCATAAATTAATGTTTTTACACCATTTGAATTAGAAATTCGAAAATTAGGGATTCGCCTCGAGTCATAAGCCCTAAATTGAAGTTTATAAAATTTTCAATTAAGTCCTTAACATTTTTAAAAACCCCTCTTCTCCAAAATCAACCAAAACCATCACCGCTATTATCTTCATCTTCTCTTTCCCCTCGAGCCAATGAGAAGATGAGGATTTATGGAAGACTGGCTATTCGCAGAGCAATTTCTGCTAAATGTTCTACTTATTACGGTATTTTAGCTGATCCGTTCTCTTTCTTTTCTTTAAATTTTCATAGCAAAGATACACTTTTTTCACCTAATTTCAAAAGAGATTTGAGCTGTGAAAGTGAAGTCGATGAAGCAATTTTCTTGTTTCGCAAAATGGTGAGAATGCGGCCGCAGCCCCCCATTTTCGAATTCACCAAACAACTAAAAGTTATTGTCAATATGAAACAATACTCGGTTGCCCTCAAACTGTTCGACGAAATGCGTGAACTGGGTGCCCCTGTAAATGAGTACACAATGAACATCTTGATTAATTGTTGCTGCAATTCGAAGCGTGTAGGCGTTGGTTTTGCTGTCTTCGGCATCTTCTTTAAACACGGTTACGAGGCAGATGTTGTGACATTCACCACTCTTCTAAAAGGTCTCTTTTTCGATGGTAAGGTGGCCGAGGCGGAGAAATTGTTTAAGCAGCTTTTGACTTTGAGACTTTGTGAGCCTGATGATTTTACGATTGTCACTGTGATAAACGGGCTCTGCAAAAATGGACACGTTCTTGCTGCTCATGATTTGCTTTGCTTATTGGAAAAGACTATTTATAAACCCAATGTTATGGGTTATAGCGCGGTGATTAATGGCTTATGCAAAACTGGAATGGTGGATAATGCACTCGAGCTGAAGTGTAGAATGATTGATAAGGGCGTTTCACCGACTGTTGTCACATATAGCTCGATGATTCAGGGCTTGTGCGATTTTGGTAGATGGAAAGAGGTGAAACACTTGCTAGATGAAATGGTCAACCACAAGATTTGTTTAACTGTTGTTACTTTCAATATATTAGTGCACTCATTTTGCAAGGAAGGAAATGTTAAAGAGGCTGAAGATGTTTTGGAAATTATGAAGCAACAAAACATTAGTCCTAATATTGTCACTTACAATGCACTGATGGATGGGTATTGTTTGCAAGGGAAAATGGATAAAGCGAAAGAGGTATTTGATTCCATGGCAAGCAAGGGGATTAAGCCATCTATTATGAGCTACGGCACTTTAATAAACGGATATTGCAAGAAGGGAAAAGTTGACGAAGCTTGGCGTCTTTTTCTGGAAGTTTCTTCTAAAGGCTTAGAACACACAACGGTTACTTATAACACCATGATACATGGATTACTTAGTGAAGGCAGATTTGGAGATGGATGGAAACTTTTCAACGATATGGAAGCTCGGCAAGTACATCCTAATTTACGTACTCACAATATTTTGTTGGATGGCTTGTGCAAGACTCGTCAGATTGCCGAAGCATTTTCGTTTCTGAAGACGATGGAAGATAAAGGTTTAAATCCTGATATAATCACATACGGTATCTTGATTAATGGTTTGTGCAAAGATGGGAAAATTGAAGATGCAAAGAAGCTTTTAAACGAACTTCCGACCAAAGGGTTGCAACCTAATAATAAAATATATGGTGCCATTATTGGTTCGTTGTGTGATGAGGGATTTATAGACGAGGCAAAAGATTTGCTTATAAAAACGGAGAGAAGTGGTTGTGCACCGGATAGCATGACATACAACACCATTATTCATTGCTTTTTGAAGAAGAAAGAGTTGGACAAGGCAATGCCATTCTTAGAGGAAATGCACAAAAAGGGGTTCTTAGCCGACGCATCTACTTCGTCAATGTTAATTAATCACTTGCAAGGATCCAAAAACGAAGACGTTCTTTTAGAAATGATGAAGAAAGTTGTGCCGAAAATGTAAATTATTCATTTTTTCGGCTTGTCGAGTTTAATTAGGTTTTGGTATGTCGAAAATGGCTTGTTGGTCATTATTGATTTGTCGCTTCTTCTTATACAAATTCCATACATTGCATCGATTAGTTTGCGTATTAAAGATCCAGATTATAAAAATTCCAATCAAATTGTTCAGATTAATTAATAAATCATAATCAAACATCTGTGAATTGCAATATATAAACCATAGTCCATGAAGGAAAAAAATCAATAATTGTCAGCAGTTGCATTTTTACAGAAACACACACACACCAAAACACATCAAAATGACATTATATAACTATAACTGCCTATATAAAGATTTACTAACATAAACAATAGAAACAAAAAAAAAAAAAAAAGAAACAACGAATTTGAATCGCGATAAACCTACATTGCAATTTCGTTTTCCTCACCAATACACACACACACACGAAGCAAAAAGCTTATCCAAATCATTAATTTACCTTAATTAGAGTTGCACATCTCTATCATATATCCAGCTAAACGGGACCCGCTGTGCTTGCTTGGCTCGTCCAAGAGCTCTCTCCTCCAACCTTCTGATCCTCCGTGGCAGTCCACACACGTAATCCTGCGCCTTCGCCCCGTCAGAAGACAATCCCGTTAAACTCTCCACTTTCCATCGACCAACTAAATGTTCTAGAATATCCGCATAGTCTTTAGCTGTGTATACACCGAGTCTTTGAGCCACAGACGAAAAGTGATCGAAAAGATTATCGTCACGCCCGTCGTACATTAAGTGGGCCGGCATTGATATTTTCTTTCTCATCATATCGGCAAAAGAAATCACGGTTTCATTTGGGTCGATTTCGAACAATTTTTCGACTATTTTGGTGTATGCAGTTTCGTGTCGTTTTTCGTCGGAAGCTATTGTACCACATATTTGAGCGAGCTTTATGTCACCGTGCTCTCTTGCCAGCCTGGCGGTGTTTCCATGAGAGACGAAGGTAGCTCTTTCTTGGAATGATGTGTAGATGAATCCGAGGTATGGGTTGTTTTCTGTTCTTGGATCCTGAAAAAATTGTTTTCGAAAAAAACGTAAGAGTTTGAAAGGATTATTTTAACTTAGATTTCAAATACAGAGCAAATCAATAATTCGAAGCATCTTAAATAGACAAAAAAGAACAATCGAAGAATTTTTATTGTGAGGGTTGCAGATCCTTCTTTGAGCTCTAGCCTCAAGTCTGAACTAAAACATTGCAATTGATTGTGAATTAACATTTTCGGAAAAATTCGCTTTTTTTTCACAAGTGGAAAACTAATTCCAATTCCGTTTCAAAAAGTAAAACTCGGAAATCGAAATTTCAAATACTACAGTACACTACTCGAAGGATACAAATCACTATGTAAGATAATAGGTTTTCGAGAAGTGGTTGGGGGCCACGGCTAGGGTGACGGATCGGATCGGATCGGAATTAGCCTTTTTTTTTCGGAAAAAACTAATTCCAATTCCGTTCAAACACTTCGGAAAAATAAAAATAAAAATCAGAATTCTAGAATTGGAATGAAAAAAACATGTTCCAAAATTAGAAATTCTCGGATCGAAATCGCCAGAATTCAAAATTTTCAACTTTTTGTTCACCTATAATATTAAATACATAATAATAACATCCGATATTGCAGGTGTAACTTCTGAAAAAATAAAAAATGAAAATTTTGAAATTATTTTCGGAAATTAAAATTGCATTAAAAATTTGAATCTCACATTTATTCCAATTCCGATAAAAAAAAATCAGAAATTTCACATACTCGGAAATAAATACATCATTCCAAATCCAAAATTGAAAATTTTCGAATAGAAATTGACAAAAACCAGAAATATTTTTCGGATTTCCACCTCAAGCCACAACCCCCTATCCCTATGAACCCATGCCTCAAATCAAGAAAACTTCATAAATAAAAATAAAAATATAAAAATATAAAAATAAAAATAAAAATAAAAAAAGAGAGTAATTAATAAATAAATAAAAAATCAAAGACTCACCATCCCAGAGCCAATCAAGTACTGAATAGTCTTCTCAATCTGCCTCATATCAACCCTTCCAGATAGATACAAATACTTATTAAGAAGATCACCATGCCTATTCTCTTCAGCAGTCCACGCCCTCGTCCAAATCGCCCACGGAGTTGGACTCGCTCCCGTTTCATCTCTCACGCCGTCCAACGTATTAAGCATCGTTTGGTACGTGGGCAGTGCTTCTTCGGTGATCATATCTCCAACTAGAACAACAAAATATTCATCCGGGATTTCCTTCGCTCTCTCTCGTAATTCCGTAACCTGGTCGTGAAATGCATCGGAAGAAGGGTCCGGTAAGAAATCTTGAGGCTGCCAGCATTTCTCGACGGGTTTGAGGTGGATTAATAGATTGTTTTCGGCCCAGTTTTCCATGGATTTGAAGATCTCGATTTTCTGAGGTGGCATCGAGTGTGTGACTTGAACGTGGACTTCGCGTTGAGGGCTGAACGGCTTTTTCACTGTCTCGACTTCCCTGTAACAAATTAGAGACACGAAGAAACGGAAAAGAAAAATGAAATGAATAGAATTAAAGATACGGAAACAGAAATGATAAGGTAGGATACATCAGAGTAGCTATCTTACTGTGAATACGAGCACACAAATTGCGCGGCAGTACAAATTAAGCAAGTAAAAATGTATATGCATATCACATACATACAGAATAATACGAATATATGTGTGTGTATATATATATGTGCTTAATCTTGCAAGCCCTCCTCCACAACTCTCCACCACATGCCACTCCACTTCTTGTTCGTCAATTTAATCGATTAAACAGAGAAAAAAAACCCAAAAATCAAGGGTAAATTACGGCCACCCTGAATTAAGGTCAAATTACGAAAAACCCCCTCGTGTTTGTAATTACAACCACCCCTCAACTTTGAATCTTCTTACATGTCCATCCTTATGGTGTCAAATTTAGTGGAAGATTCTCCAGTTTGTACCCGTTTTACCTCATTCGAACTCCACATTTTTAAACAAGATTATCATAAAATGTGTCTCTTAGTTTGTAAATATCAGATTGTTGTGGTGCATCAGAAACTGCATTTTTGCACAAAACGAGTACAAACCGAAAAATATTCCACATAATCTAGAAGATTATATTAAATTTGACACCATAAGGGTGTACCGTGTACGTGCAAGAAGATTCATAGTTGAGGGTGGTTGTAATTACCCAAACACGAGGGGTTTTTTTCGTAATTTGACCTTATCTAGGAGTTGGCCGTAATTTACCCAAAAATCAATTTAAAACAGCAGGCTACTCAATCACCTGCATATTCCAGTTAGTAAATTCAACTTCAATATTACAAATTTAAAATCAAAAAATTAGAAACACAAACTTAGATATAAATATAAAAGAAAAAAAATTATCCAATATAAGCAGATAAATGTGAGCTACTTAATCAGCTAAAAACCCAATAATATCTACTGACAAATAAACAAAAGAATTCTTCTCATGCATGATTTATTTATCAAAAAAAAAATAGAGGAAAAGGAAAATGTGAGCTCACTTGGAAGCAGAGCGAAGAGTGGAAGCCATGAAAAAACTAGGAGATCTGAGGCTGGCGGTTGTTGGGAGAGCAAAACAAGGGCATTTTGGTCTGTGAAAATCGACGGCGTTAAGCCTCAATGCCATTTCTTTTTTCTGGTTTGGTTTGTTTTCTCAGGTTCTGTTTCCGCCACAGAAGTGAGAAAGTGGCAACTTGTGTTTTGTGTTGTGTGTGTATGAGAGAGAAAGAGAGAGCAGAAGTGGTGGTGGGACAAGCAAACCAATTGTAGAGAGAGAAAGAGTGTATGTCTGTGTGTGTATGTATATATATATATATGTATGTGTGTGTGTGCGTCTCTATTCACACCAACTAAATGCGAAACTGTCCGTTACCTCTTCGTGACGTATTTACCTATCTGCCAATTTTATTATTATTATTTTTTTTTTAGTCGATACAATGCGGATCACTGATCACCGAAATCTGACGCGATTTGAGTTTTGTTCTTCGAGCCGTTTTTCTTCGGATAGGGTTGGAAACGTGCTATTAAAACTAAAAAAAGCTAAATAAGTCGGCAAAAACGACCATGCGAAAATGAGTTAAAATCTAATCATAATAGATCTCGCAATTTAAGAAGTAACACATGTGACGGAATCTTCATCTCATGTTTCTATGAATGGATATGAGCTTTCTAAAAATTTCTTAAAATAGTAAAATTTGATTTTTATGAGTTGAAATGACGTCGGACCACCGAAATTTAACGCTATGTTTTAGCTTTTAGTTAGTTGATTTGAAGACGTATTCATACATCGGACGGATCGGATTGGATCGGAATAAGCCGTTTTGGAAAAAAATCGATTTTATTCCGAAAGTGAAAAATAAGTTCCATTTCCGTTCCGAAAAAAATTGGAAACAGAATTTAGAAATTTGGAATGAAAAAAATTGTTCCAAAATCGAAAAATTTCGGATCGAAATCAACGGAATTTTAAAATTTCCAATTTTTTGTCACCTAAAATATAAAATGCAGAAAAATATTGGGAAAAACCGGACCGGTTATTTTCGGAACTTTGAATCGAATCGAAAATCGAAATCTCTTATATATCCAAATTCCATTTCACATTATGTTTAAAATAACTTCCGAAAAATCGGATCTCGAAATTTTGGAATTCGGATTGAAAAATGTTGTTCTAAAACGGAATCTCATATATATTAGCTAAGTTTCCCTAGCTAAAAACATAGTCATTTGTTTTTCACAATTCTTACTTGTATTTTTTCTTGATTAATCCACATAAACCGAAATTAAGAAAATTAGCTAAAATATAACTCATCCCATCAAAAAACACAAGCAAATTAAAAAAAAAAAAAAAAAAAAACACCAATTCCAATACAAAATTAGAGTGGGAAGAAAAAAAAAATTAAATAAAAGGAAATAAAACTTATAATCGCCCCTTTCATAATATATGCTTAGTATTCCTCCTCCTCAACCAACACCATTCTACTCAAAGGACTTGGGCCAAGCTTTCTCCTCCTCATAGCACTTCTTCTCCTAATAATTTCCATCTCATTCCTTCTCCTAACTTGCATCATTGCTTCTTCCTCAACAACAAATCTTCTCATCAAAACGTCGTCCGTCAAAGATTTTCCGCGAAAAATCTTCCGCCCTTCGATACTCATTCTTGCACTCGGAGTACTTCTAATTATACCGTCTTGTGTTGTTCCGTGGTGTAAATTAGGCTTCGAAGAAGATGACCTCGGGTAGCTATAGCTCCTTCTCGGAGGAACGTGGTCCACTTGAAAAACCTCGTTGTACGAAGAAATCGGTGCGCATAGACAAACTCGAGTGAACGATGTTGCCACTCTTAACGAGGTGCATTTCCTTAGCTTGTTCCTCGTAGTAGGGTTTGTCGTGGGGTTCGTGTCGTTTGTTTTCGAGTTTATAATTGGTCTCCAAAGGTTGTAGGGCTTTGTGGGATTTTTGGGAGGTTTATTTGGAAGGGATTTCCATAGTGTTGCCATCTCTATTGCTCTTTGGTACCAAGGCTTCCTGCAATGAATTTGACATTTTGGAGTCAAAATATATGGAATGTGAAAAATTAGAGACACTTCTATTTCAACATTGTGAATGAATTTTATCATTATTGCTCTCAAAGTAATGAGAATGAGTTAATAGTGTCACATTGTTATTTTTGGTGATGAAGGATACTGCAGCCATACGAAAGACGTAAACCACACGCGACAAGCTCGATCTAACGATTATTAATAAAAGTATTCGAACATGGGTCAATTGACACATGTTCACTTGCTCAAACTGCTAGGACATCCATTACGGGACAATTACAGGGTTTATTGCAATTACTATCCATGCGCTATGTTGAATTACTAAAAAACTACCTAATTCAATTTTTTTAGCACACAACCCTCTAAACAGGGTTACAAATAAAGTACTACTAATTGCTAAAAAAAAGTTATAGAGGATTTTTTGCCAAGAAAATAGCAAGGCGTAGTCGTTAAGTAATTCGATATAATATGGGGTACTATTTACAATAAACTCTAAATTATATGGGAGGAAGTCAAAGATTGTAGTCTATAATCACTATGGGCCCATAGACAATTGGAGGGCTACCTTTTTCCCTAAAGGCCCAATTTTGAATCTTCTACCTTTTCTTAATTAGTCTCCACTCTTGACCGTTCTTGTATAATGCATTCAAAACGTCATTAGTTCAATAATGTATAGATTTACAATTTAAAATCACCCGATATATTTCATCAAGCGTATCTTCTCATAGACAGTAAAGTACATCTCCACTGATCTCTTTCATAAAGGGTTTTACATATTTTGTCATAAAATCTTATTCAAAGACCGACTTTTACGTCAGACTCTCTATAAATAAATAAAAAATATGCAATGACATTGATCGATAATTTCAAAGACAATCCCAAATTTATAAAGAAAAAAATATAGAGAGTTTGGTGAATTTAATTATAAATTTAAAGACTTCTCCGTTAAAGATAATATTTTTTGCTAAAATCTCAAAATTAATACTGCAAACTTGTGAAATTTAATTTAGAACCTAATACATATATATCTTGTGTCACAATTAATTAATGTGAAAAACTCAAAATTAAACTTAGCTCAACATCATGCAGTAGCACTACTGATCATACTTCTACACTAAGAAGCACTAGTAATATTTTGTCTGTGTTAGTGTGTGTGTGTGTGTGTGTGTGTGTGTGTGTGTGTGTGTGTGTGTGTGTGTGTGAGTGTGTGTAAAATAGCCCTCATGGCAAGCCTAAAATTCAATCATGAACTCTTTTTTTGTGGCATTTGATCATGATACATCATTTGTTCAGAAACACTTCTTACATAGTGCTCTGTGTGTGTGTGTGTGTGAGAGAGAGAGAGAGAGAGAGAGAGAGAGAGAGAGAGAGAGAGAGAGAGAGAGAGAGAGAGAGAGAGAGAGAGAGAGAGAGAGAGAGAGAGTACCTTCTCTGTGAGTTCTTGGGATCTTGCATAACAAAAGAGATAATGGTGAGTATGAGAGAGATAGAAAAAGAGACTTAAGATGGTCATTTAATTTGCTAGAGAGAGAGAGAGAGAGAGAGAGAGAGAGAGAGAGAGAGAGAGAGAGAGAGAGAGAGAGAGAGAGAGAGAGAGAGAGAGAGAGAGAATTTGATGACTGAAAGATAGGTTGGCAATGACTACCTTTAGTGTTTTTTATATGCTTCCTTTAATGGTTGCTCTACTTTTGCTTTGGCAGGAATCATTCCAACTGATTGGGGGACTCAGACGACTCAGATACATACATATCAGATTCAAATTTCAAAGCTTAAATCTTTGCTTTTGTATTTTTTTATTTTTTTATTTTATTTTTTTGTTCAAATTACCAAATAGGCCTTGTAACTTGTAATGCCCATACCTTGATTATTTTCATATATAATTTATTTTAAAAGAAAAATATTAGATTTAGTATGTAGACAGTAGATTACATATGTTCTATATATTTGTCCACGTGGCGGAGGGTGGCAACAATTGGTACGTTGTTGACATTTGTGTGTTGAATTATATTATAAAAAGATATAGCATTTTACTATTCCCAATTAATTTTAAAATTTATTTATTGCACAAGAAAAGTGAAAGTTTATTCAGTGCATCTCTATAATTGATTGCGATTTCTTTAATTACAAGGAATGAAGGAATATAATAAAATGAATAATAGCGTCTGAGGTCATATACCTCGATTAGTATGTTTTAAAGAACAAAGAGTTCTCAAATAATTTAATGAGCTTCGATTCGACTTGTCGTGGAATTACTCGAGTTCAAATCTTAATTGGGATCACCCTAGATGTAAGCTCGAATTCGACTCATCAATAACCTTAAGCGAGAACTTTCTTCGAGTTGGCTGACGAACTCGTGAACCGACTCGACTCGGTTACAATCTTATACCATAGTCTTGCTTTGCGAGTCTCCCTTTTTTTAGAGTTGGTGTTTTAGAAATTGACATTTGAACAATTTTTAAGATCTCTCATATCTTTATTAAGGATAAAATGCGGTCACCACTGAGGTAAGGTCAAATTACAACAACGAAAAAAAAAAAAATCATCATTTTTTGGTTATTGCAACCACCCCTCCGTATTGTGTTACGAAAAAACTCTTCATTCAGTAGGTAAATTTGACACTGTAAAAGTAGACGTATAAGACAATATATAATTGAGGGGATGATTGTAATTACTCATAAATGAGGTATTTTTCGTAATTAAACTTTACCTCATGGGTAACACTAATTCACCCTTTTACTAACACTATAAGCTATGGAATAATATTTATCTAAAACATTTGACTTGTAAAAAGAAAAATTGCAAGAAAATGGGAAATTATCAACTTTAGATGAAGATTCACGTGATGATTCAATCTTAGAACAACAAGAAAATGATATAATATTAATTAATTGCATTTATGTAATTATAATCACATTCTATTATGTCATGATTATGAGCATGTAAGATGGTTGGTACACTTAATGTATGTTGTCTGAAAGGCTGCTGTTTGCTCGTGCCCTGTGACTTAACTTAATCATAGGGGATCAACTTATATGCATGCTTTGGTATAATAATCAAATTTGAACACATATTTTTGTTCAATAATATATGAACAATCAAGTTCAGCTCGAGCTCGAACTTCGCTAGAAAATAAAATAAAATTGTATAAAAAAATGAGCTACTCGATCTTGATTTTTGTTCGACTCAATTAGAACTTGTCAAGTTTGACCTGTTTTTAATAAATATAAGCTTAAACGTTGTTAACCACAAATATTGTTTGTGCCTGCAAAACATAAATGCAAGACAAGAAAAATGGAAATAAATAAATTTATTAATCTAAAGAAAATGAGTTATAATCTTTTGGAATTCCTCTGATTCTTCTCTTTTAATTCGATTCAAGGGCTTAGAAATTTGTTTCTTGAATCAAATAAATATAAATACCTTGAATTCAAATATATTATGAATTCACGGTGAAGATTTGGATTTGTACGTCTACGTAAGTCTGAATTAGCTTATACCAGAGTCCTCCTTTTACAGACACGAGCTAGGATTTCTTGCGTAGTACGAATCCGACATTTGTCAAGCCCAAATATTGTATGTATTTTACTTTGGGACCCAAAATAATAACCAATTTATATAGTATAATCCCAAAATTTCGATGTCAGCAAACACAATTTTTAAATTAGATTAAATTTGGGATTCCCTCAAGTTTGCACTGATTTCACATTTGGTTCCTCATGTTCACAAAAAACACATTTGGTCTCTCATGTTTCAAAAATTCAACACTATTAGTTCTTTCCGTCAGTTTTCCATAAAACTAACGGAATCAAACGTGTGCCCATCACTACCGTAACTGACGGACTAACGGTAAATTGACGAAAATAACAAAAAATGTCAAATTATTAAAACATGAGGGACCAAATATGAAATCGTTACAAACTTGAGGGGTGAAAACTGTAAATTTCTCCATTGAATTTAGAATAAGTTTCAACAATTTACAAATACATACACTTCTATTTGCGGTTTTTAACAAAATCCCACAAAACTTCCCAAAAAAATCAAAAAACCCCCCAAACTGCAAATAGAAAAAAAAAATTCGAAAATTCGAAATCAAGCTTGAAGAAGGGTTGGGCTTCGATTTTTTGATGTAATTTCGACTCTTTTATGTGTAATATGTGTTGGGTAGGTCGATTACGGAACCAATTTCATGTTAAAAAGCCCTACAAATCGATTTGTAGGGCTTTTTTTTTTTTTTCGCAAAAACATGTTGGAACGCCCAAGATGGGCGCCCAAGGCGTGTACGAACGCCCGTTCGGGCGCCCATCTTGGGCGTTCAATTAGAAAAAAAAAAAAAAAAAAATTTTGCACTGCACGCCCAACTCGGGCGCCCAAATGCAGCTTGCACGCCCAACTTGGGCGTGCACTGCATGAATGGATGCCCAAGTTGGGCTTTTACGCGTTTTGGGGGAGTTTTTGGATTTTTTTGGAAAGTTTTGGGGTTTTAGATAAATAAAGTGTTTTTTGTTATAAACCGCAAATAACAATTTTCAAACCGCAAATAGCGATTCCCTTATTTTTCCATAATATTTTTCATCATGACATATGCTCAGATTAGAACAACATTACATGTACATACATGATTTGTACAAGATCAAGCACATCCAACAAAAAAGATTTCCTTTCGTGAAAACTGAATAAAATTTTAATTAAATATATCTTCAATGTACTTAAGTAGTAAGAAATCTTAATTAAGGTGAATTAATAGGTGGAATAAGAAAATGGCAAAGACAGGTCAAGATTAGATGTAATATTTTAAGTAATGGAAGGCATAATCATTATATTTTGTTAGTGGTGTTAAATATATGGTCCCGAAAACAGCTGCAGAAGACCAAAAAGACATGATCATTAGTATTACATGACAAATCTCATGTTTTAGGGATTGCCTTTTTCTTAATTTTGCTTATACTAATTCGTATTTTATATATATTGGAGTAGAGCCTAACTTTTGAAAGGTGTTACATTTTGCTATTTAAAGAAGAGTAGATTCCCCTTTTTCCTTTGTACCTTGACTCGATATTATTTTATCCCCTTCTATTCTCAATTGCATCGATTTGTCTTCCTATACATGAAAAAATGTCTCAATATGGCCATCGCCGTTAGTTTTCAGACAATTGACCTTAACACCGTTTGATCTAACTTTGAAAATTACAAAAAAAAAACCACCCCTCCCAATTTAAATAATTATGACAAAAATTAAAAATAAATTGTGGTTGGCGTCGTGGACTACGTTTTCTCGTTGTCTTGCATTTTTTATTATTTTATTATTATTATTTTTTTTAATAATTATTTAAACTAGGAGAGGTGTTGTTTTTTGTAATTGCAGAACTTAGATCAGACGGCGTTAAGGTCAAATATCAGACAACTAACAATGAGGGACCCATTGAGACAATTTTTCAAGTACAAGGGCAAATCGATGTAATCGAAAGTAGAAGTAGGTAAAGTAATATCGAGTCAAAGTATAAGATATGAAAGTGGAATTTACACTTTAAAGAAGAGAAAAATGAATTATCTAAAGATAAACACATGTTGGATTTTGGGCCTAAATGAATTAATATCATTCAACTCATTAACCATTTCCATTTTGAGCGGCCCGCGAACTGAAAAAAAAATGGCCTAGTTGCACACTTAGCCCGTCTGATTTATAGAACTCTCTCGAATTGTGATATGAACCGTCTGAATCCATCTTTTGATCATGTCCGTTCACTTAAGAAGTAAAAGGCTATCCGGCCTTATTTCTTAATCGTGATCTGCTTTTTGGTGTATCAGATCTATTTTTTCATCGTACCACTGTCATTTACTATTCGTACATTTGTTTCCAGCGGCACGACCACCTTTGACTATGACGGTGAATGTACCAAGTAGGGAGACCGTCTTACTTTTCCGTCTTTGTATTCAAATCATTGGGAGACCGAAAGACCAAAACACATGCATTGAGTCTTTTGACTGGTTTGTTTTCTAGTCTCGCCTTTGGACCTCTTAACCCGTTAGAAAAGCGTTGTGCGGTGAGCTCGATCTAGAAAATGTTTGCATTAGGGATCGTACTCGAGTCGTTAAATGTTGAGCCCTCTTGTTACACAAACTGAATCATTCAAGATAAGAAGAAGTTATAATTTTATGTGATTCAATGGTATAGTTCGATAAAAAAGGATCCAACACAAGTTTTCAAAGAAAGGTTATTTTAGAGTAAAGAAAAGGGCTTTTAGTATAAAAAAGTGAAGTTATTGCAATAACTAAATATAAGGTAGGATTCGGCCATTTAATTAAATATTTTTTTTGGTAACAAGAAACGTACGGCGAACCGTATATGTGCACTAAGTAAATTTTCATTTTCGTATAATAGCTTGCAAATTATACGAGAGACATACACTGCATTAGGTTAACCATGTGCAACAACCTCGATCTAGCGACTGTTGACAAATGAATTCGAATTTGGGTCAATTGACACAAAATTACTTGTTCTAACCGCTAGGCATCCTTTACGGGACCGATTTAATTAATATTGACAAATGAAACCTCACACCATGAAATATAGTGTACATGGGTGCCTAAATGCTCAACAAATTTCTTTAAACAAAATTGGTAATGGATAAATTAATTTCTTCTTCTTAATAACGATGAATGCACCCCCATATTGTAGTAAAGTTTTAGGTGAGAGTAGCCCAACGGTAATGAGACCTCTTATTCAACTATTGCCATTATTGCTTATCAATGTTGACCCAAATTACAATTAAATCAATTTTGTTGACAAATTGCAATCCTCTAATGTATTGTCTAAGTGGATTTAGGCCATATGATTTAAATGAATTGCCTTTAGGGTAAATTTCAGACTCGTAAGGTATGATCAAATTACGAAAACCCCCTCTTGTTTGGGTAATTATAATCACCCCTCAACTATAAATTTTCTCACACGTCTATTCTTGCGGTATCAAATTTAGTGAAATCTTCTACATTATGTGGAATATTCTCCAGTTTGTAGCCGTTTGATACCATTCAAACTCCACATTTCGTAGTAAGATGATCATAAGATGCATTTTTTGGCTTGTATTTATCAGAAACTACATTTTTGCACAAAAACGAGTACAAACTAGAGAACATTCCACGGAATCTAGAAAATTATGTTAAGTTTGACACCATAAGAGTGGGCATGTAGGAAAATTCATAGTTGATAAGAGTAATTGTCATTACCCAATTATAATGATTTTTTTCGTAATTTAATCTTATTTCAGGGGTGATTGTAATTTACACTTGTTTTTTATGAAGAGCCCAATTGAAAAGGCCCATTTAAAGCACATTAAGCTTAAAGATATGCTACAATTTTCAAAACTATAATATCCTACGCTGTCACATAAATGTCTTCATTGTTCTGTTATTGACTTATTGTAGGTCGGCAAGTGAATTTAAACTCTCTTATATTTTTGTAGTACTATATGAATTATTAAATTTCTATAAATTATAATTAATGAATGTGTCACCTCATGTTGTATATGATATCACCATGAATCCGCGTGCAAGTTGGAATGTAAATTTCAATTTTAGCCCGCTCCGATTCGAAAAGTTCCGATTTTGGAATAATTTTTTTCATTTCGACTTCCAAAATTCTAATGTCCGAATTTGTTCTTGTTTTAGATTTGAATTGGAATTATATAAAAAAAATAGAATTTTTCCGACCCGATTTAATTTCCGAAATTAATTCCAAAATATACACCTAATATTTAATTTATGTTTTTTTATTTATTTTGTAAAACAGTAATTTGATTTAAGTTTTGTTTAGGATTTTGACATATTGAATTGTTATCAGAAGTTTTATTGGATATTATAATATATTTTAGGGATTTTTATGCAAAAGTCCCCAACCAAGCATGTTTATTATTCTAGGTTTAGGGGAAATATCTCTTTTACCAATAAGCCCATCCCTTTAATATTTATTATAACTAAAGGAAACATTCATGTATATCCCAATATTACCCTCAACCATTTATACCCAATTCTTAATTGTAATCCAAACTAATCAATTTTGTCCATAAAAGTTCAATTTTGACCACAAAAATTCAATTTTGACTTTTTTTTGGAGTATAATTTAATATGCTCCAATTTCATCCTTAACTTAATTTAATCTCAATTTGACCCCAAATTTCACAAATTATTAAATTTTGACCCAAAAATTTTTTTTTTCAAAAACTTTTTTTTTGCCGCCGGATTCCGGCGTTGACCGGCGGTCAACGCCGGTCTCCGGCGTTGACTTTTTTAAATTTTTTTTTTTTTTTTTTTTTTTCTTTCTTCCGGATTTTTTCGCCGGTTTCCAGCGTTGACCGGCGGTCAACGCCGGTCTCCGGCGTTGACTTTTTTTTTTTTTTTTTTTTTTTTTTGCTTTTTTCTTTTTTTTTTTCTTTTCTTTTCTTCCGGATTTTTTCGCCGGTTTCCGGCGATCTCTTTTTTTAGTGTTTTTTTAAGTTTTTTGTTTTGTTTTGTTTGGTTTGTTTTGTTTTTCCACGTCCGCCGCTAAACGTTGACCGTAATTGTGCTGTCACTGACAGTAAATTAACGTAATTATACTGTCAATGATAGTTAATTAACGTAATTGTACTGCCGTTGACATTATATTTATGTAATTGTGTTGCCGTTGACAGTAAATTAATGCAATATTATATTTTTTTATTTATTATTATTTTTTTTTATTTTTTTTTGATTTGTTGACAAGTCAACGTAATTATATTACTGTCGTTGACAGTAAAATAACTGTAAACACAATAATATTACTGTCAACAACATCAATATTATTATTTTTTTGTGGTGTTTGTATTAATATTACTGTCTATTATTGTAATATTACTGTAAACACAATAATATTACTGTGGTTGACGGTAATATTACTGTTTGTTATAGTCATATTCCTGTCAACCACATCAATATTATTCTTTTGTTTGGATATTTTGTTTGTTTGAGTTATTCACGGAGTAACGTAATAATATTACTGTCTACTATTGTAATATTACTGTTGCTATAGTAATATTACTGTTGCTATAGTAATATTACTGTCACTCACAGTAATATTAATTCTTTTGGTTTTTTTTATTTTGTTTACATTTGTTGAACGGACAACATAGTAATATTACTTTATTATACAATAATAATGAATTTTGTTGTGTTAATATTAATGTGCTAGAGATTAATATAGCAATATCACTATGTTAAACTATAGTTTAGTTATTTTTACTGTGTTTAACAGTAATATAGTTAATATTACTGTCATTCAAAGCAATATTGTTGTTTAAACGGAAAAAAAAGTTACAGAAAAAAAAATTAAAAAAAAAATAAAATAAAAAAAATAAAAAAAAGTCAACGCCGGAGACCGGTGTTTACCGCCGGTCAACGCCGGAATCCGGAAAAAAAATCCGGAAGAGAAAAAAAAAAAAAAAAAAAAAAAAAAAAAAATTAAAAGTCAACGCCGGAGACCGGCGTTGACCGCCGGTCAACGCCGGAATCCGGAAAAAAAAAATCCGGAAGAAAAAAAAAAAAAAAAAAAAAAGTCAACGCCGGAGACCGGCGTTGACCGCCGGTCAACGCCGGAATCCGGCGGAAAAAAAAAGTTTTTGAAAAAAAAATTTTTGTGAAAAAAAAAAGTTTTGGGTCAAAATTGAATTATTTGTGAAATTTGGGGTCAAATTGAAGTTAAATTAAGTTAAGGATGAAATTGGAGAATATAAAAGTAAGAGGGGTTATTTTAGTCCTTTACATAAATCTGGACCATGTGTGGACTTATTGGTAAAGGAGAATATTGTCTGGATCTCTTTATGAATAAGTTCCCACTGATGGGCTTATTTGTAATATGCCCTATATTTTATTATTTTATTTTTTTGAAATGAAATTTAGTAGTAATTAGTTTTACCTTTATCGGTGTTGATGTTCTTATTTTTGGAAAAATATAAAATTTTTAGTAAAATTCCGCTTAGTATGTTATTTCCGATTTTTTTTCCAAAATTCTGAAATTTTCGGGCCTTTTGGAATTGGAATGTATTTTTAAATACATAAATGTTTGGAATAATTGCATTTGAAAAATTCCCAATTTATGTTTCCACAACCTTTTGGCTTTTACAATTGAGATTTAAAAACAAGATAATTGAAAAAAAAACATTTAAATTAAGCAACAAATATTAATTTTATATATCAATTTTTTTATATGTTAGATAAAACCAATTCTAATTAAATAAAAAAAAACAATATTTAATACTCTAGAAAATAGATCATCGTTTTCAATTTCATCGTACTCGCGCTTCTATTTAGCGACTTAGTCCCCCACACACAGCTTTTTTCTGTTATATTGTCCCATTCTCAATACGTCGCTCTCTCAACTATTTTATTCTTCAAAAGACAAATAAATAATTTATTCATTTCCACTTTCTATCAATAAAGCCCTCCTTTTTCTCCTTTATTACTCTCCACCCACTCCACTAACCCGCTCCCCACAGGGTCAATTTCGTCATTTCACAGAATAACTTAAATTAATCATATTTAATTCTACGCTTAATTTTCCAAGAAATTGAACCGCACTGTACTTTCCTGCCTCGTTTTCTCCCTTCTCTCTTTTGACTGTTTCTCTCTCTACCTCTCTCTCTCTCTACATATATATATATATATACAAAAACCTGTGTCTCTGTGTATCATGCACGCAAGCACACACACTGAGAGTGTAACTGCGCGTTGATTTTTGTTTTCATAGGCTTTGGAATTTCCTGTTCGCTCCGTTGTTTGATAAAACTTTCTGTAAGGTTTGATAAATTGGAGAAAAATTAAAAATTATGGGAGGAAAGATGGTGGTAGATACGGCGATGGAGTTTCTAGTGCCGTCGTGGTGGGAGGTGCAAGTCACGCTGGCGGCGGCGGTGTTCATGGTGGTGTCGTACTGGTTCTTCACTCTCGACGGCGATGGATGTGGCTTCCGCGATGATCGGGCGTTCGCCGATGGTTCCGCCGCCGATGGGGATGCGATTGACGACAAGTACAAGGTCATTTCCCTAATTTTTTTTACCGCCAAAATTGAATCTGCACTTTGTTTTGATTGATCAGTTTTTTGGGGTTTCTGTATTTCTAGTACCGGAATTTCAGTTTATCTGGTGTCGGATTTTTTTTTTTCCTTCCGTTGGAAAAACTTTATAAGTAGAGTTAATGGAGGGTAATTACTTAGCTGTGATGTGAAAGCTAATTGGTAAGTTGAACTGCGCATTAATCGGAAATTCTGCTCCTATATTACCAATTTTTTTTGTTTTATTTGGGGGTTTATATATATCACGATTCATTGGATTGTCTGTAGAGGTTCAGAGAATCGTCAGTTGAGTTTATGTAAATTGCTTCTCGTTTAATACGATTGATGGCGATGACAAGGTCATTACGTAATTTGCTACCCAATTGGATTGGCATTTGGTGCTTTGATGGTGATTTTTTTTGGACACTATCAATTGGTAGATAATTTTAGATGTCGAGCAAGAAAAAAGAAGTAGTAGATCAAAAGTTTGTTCTGCTGTTGGAGAAAGAAGCTTAAAGAATACGAAAATACTTGTCGGAAAATATTTAAGATATAGTGCCTAGTACTTCATTCCATTTCCTTAGGATAAAGAGTGCATAGATTAAGAGGTCTTCGAGAAATATGCCAACAGTTGTTGCTGTAGTAGTGAGTTTTATCTACTTGGTGGCTTTTGAGAAGCGTGTCAGTAGGTTCTAGTAATTTTACGACTCTGTCATTCTTTATGTATTTTTAGCAGTTAGATATGGTGTAGGTGATTAGTGAAACCTAATAATTATTAGATAATTAACACTAAATAGAACCTAATGTTCGTGGTGTATTTGACTCGAAAAATATCTGTCAACGATGGTGTTCTCAGAATATTTCTTCACTAAGGCATCTAATACCAAATTCGTTGTCATGGGAGTTTCTTGCTTGCAGATTTGGTTATTGTGTACATAGTGATCAAATTACTACTCCGTGTTGCGTAGTTGATTTATTTGTGTTCTTGGAGTAATTTCCCACTTGCTTGACATGCAGTTGTGCTTTTCTTTTGTAGATGGGCCAGTTTAAAGGAGATCCTCAAACTAATTCTGCATATTTGATTAAGGTAACTTTAAATGTTTTCCGGCAGGTGTTTTCTTAAATGAGTAGATATATTTGCTGGTGCGTCGTTTCCTTTTGGATTAAACTGTAAGTTGAACTTTACTATGCCATCTTCCTGTTAGGTGGAGCTGTTAGCAGCAAAGAATCTTATTGGGGCGAATTTGAATGGGACATCAGACCCTTATGCAATTATCACTTGTGGTTCAGAAAAGCGCTTCAGGTGATTGGCATCTCATTTGACACCTCTAATGTCCTAAACCAACAAATAGTTTTTTAATAGGCATACTACATTCTTCTTGGCAGTTACAAATAACTCTTTAACACGTGTATAAAGATAGAAGAATTTCAGTTTTTTAGTCAGTCTTTCTGGTGCCATTTCCTTAGCAATGTATGTATATATATATATATATATATATATATATATATATATATATATATATATATATATATATATATATATATATATATATATATATATATATATATATATATATAGACACACACACACACATATGTTAAGATTTGAGTTTATGTACTTGCAGTTCTATGGTTCCTGGCTCAAGAAATCCCATGTGGGGGGAGGAGTTCAATTTTTCTGTTGACGAGCTTCCTGTGGAGGTAGTGTGTTTTACGTGGAAGCCTAATTGTTGGTAAATTCCATGAGAAATAGATTTTCGATGTTATGTCTATATTCAAATTAAATTGAAATGATCTATTTCCGGTTTTATTGGTCTTATCTATTTATTTACTTCCACATCATTTCTCCTTTCTCTCTCCAACATCTTTGTCTTTATTTCTCTTACTCCGTTTTAGTTTACGTACATTTCTCATATAATTTCTAAAAGTTGTTTTTCTATAGTTAGCATAATCTCAATCGCACCTACATGGTGTGCTACAGCTATTTATATTATTAAATAACGTCATAATTGTTTTTTGTTTGCTATTAAGCACCATTTGAAGTGTCTACACCACTACTGCGAATAAAAAAACTCGTAAATGCCTAGTATAATTCCTCTTTTGTATGGGATATATGCTTCTGGTTATTGAACTCATTGTGTGCTGGAATGCCTTACATCTTCTATTGGAATATTTTTCAAATACAATAACTTTCTGGTTACTTTTTCTAGAGCTAATTCTTTTATCTTAATGTATTATGGGCAGATTATTGTCACAATTTATGATTGGGATATAATTTGGAAAAGTGCAGTTCTCGGTGCGGTGACCATTCCTGTCGCAGATGAAGGTCAAACCGGTGCTGTGTGGTATACTTTGGACAGTCCATCGGGGCAGGTAATAAATTGTTATGGTCACGACTTTTTGGAGATTTTATAACGTCCTCTTTTGCAAGTTTAGTGTGTTTCGTTTTCTAGGGTTGTATCTTGCTGATGTCGGAAATCTCTTTTTGGTATGTTTATCAGGTCTGTCTTCATATTAAGACGCTCAAACACCAAATGAATTCTCCCAGGTAGCGTTTTATGATTAAAAAAATTCCTTCCTCATAAAGGTTTGATGACATTACCTGTTTCATTGACATCGTTATGGATTCACTAGACTGTTATATCATATAGGTTTCTGTGTTGTGGTTCATCAAGAGAACGAGTCATTTGCTAGCCTGAAATATACTAAGTATTTGGCGTGGGAAAGCATTGAAATATTTTACCTTTGGTGATAGCAAAGATTGCAGATAGGCTTATTTGTTATTTCATTTCAAGACTAGAGAGTTATTTTGTAGTTGAAATACTGGTGGCTGTCTAGTTGATGATGACATAAGCGATGTGGTGAATGATTATTATGCATGCATGTAAACTACTTTTGCGCAATTATATTTTTCTTCTGTCAGAACTGTTGGAACGTATTTAGTTTTTTCTTGCACTGTTTATAAAAATGATGCTAATTTATACATTTACTATGTGTAAAAAATCTTTTCCCTAACAGTGTTGTACTTCCAGTAGAGTATTTAAACTTGTTTAATCTATTTGTCGATAGGGGTTTGAAGGGCTATGCTGGTGCTACCACTCGAAGAAGGACTTTGGATAAACAAGGACCTACAGTTGTTCATCAGAAACCTGGGCCACTGCAAACTATTTTTAATCTTCTCCCAGATGAGGCATATACCCTAGTTATTTCGGACATGATTAGATTCAAGACTTTCTTTAGATTGCATTCTTTTTTTCTTTAAATTTTTGGCAGTTTAAAATTCTTAGTTATATTCTGATGATTTTCAGTTAAATTTAGTTGTTAATATTAGTAACATTGTTCTTCAGGTTGTTGAACATAGCTATTCTTGTGCACTAGAGAGATCATTTTTGTATCATGGTCGGATGTACGTATCAGCATGGCATATTTGCTTTCATTCGAATGTTTTCTCAAAACAAATGAAGGTTAGTATTAGTATGAATATTATTATTAGTATTCATATTAATATCAATATGAGTATTAGTATTAGTATCAGTATTTGTATTGATATTAGTATTAATATCAGTATCAATTGATATTTCTAGGTTCTGCTGATCGATTATGTTTGCATTTGCATTTTGTAGGTAATTATACCTTTTGGAGACATAGATGAGGTACAATGCCCCGTTCGTTTTTTTCCTTTTGCTCCATCCTTTTCTACGCCGGTTCAATTTATTGGTAGTATGATATACCTTAATCCATTTAGTTGATTTTCTGTTTCAGATAAGGAGGAGCCAACATGCTTTCATAAATCCAGCTATTACAATAATTCTTCGGATGGGTGCTGGAGGGCATGGTGTGCCTCCTTTAGGAAATCCTGATGGTTAGTGATTGCTATTCCCTTTTGTTCATTTAAGAGCTGGTTTCATTAGTTATGATGTCTCTTATTTGATAGAGAGTGACTAATCATGTGAACTTAAAACACTAAATATCGATGGAAAATTCTTTGGAGGATCTGAATCGTCTCTACGCCTGAAACAGATCTGAAATTTCAAGAAATGCTAGACTAGTCAAATGGAAAAACGTGTTTTCAAGGCCTTAAGTGATGTCGACAAGAAATGCTAGACTAGTCAAATGGAAAAACGTGTTTTCAAGGCCTTAAGTGATGTCGAATCGATAAAAATCGATCGTAGCAAACCGACATAGCCAATGAATTCTTCAAGTTTCTTGCTTTTCTTCAGATTGGTCAGTGTAAGATAGACATGCTTCAATGGACTCGTAGCAAATGAAGTTATTTCTTTTGAGGAAGTTTTATCTACACAAAAAATATGCGTGTCACTTTTGGTAATTGTTGTGGATATCTAGGGACAGTTAACTAGATTTCCCTGTTAGAATAGAAAAGTAGAAAAAGGACAGGATGCACTCAGACATTATAGGCAGGCAATTTTTAATACAGAATAGCCAACCAGACACAGTTGGCCCCGTTAGATGGGGTTAGAGTTACAATATTGAATGAACCCACTCTGTTTTATACAGATCGGAAAAGACTCCTAACTAGGAATGATTAGTTGAGATTCTGTGGGTTTTCCCGTCCTAGTTGCGACTGGGTTATTAATGTTGTTTCAGCCTGTGAAAGAGAGACTAATATCATGGTAAAACTGTTTAAATCTTGTATTGCGGATCATATATACTACCAACATTAATATTTAGTTGTGTTGTGCGGCGAGTTATTCTACATACTATATGGAAGATGAGGTCTGTTTATACTCAATTGTACCCACATTTGTTTTTCAGGTAGAGTCAGATACAAATTTGCATCTTTCTGGAATAGGAATCATGCACTGAGAGGTTTACAGCGTGCAACGAAGAACTACCACGACATGCTAGAAGCAGAGAAGAAGGTCCGATTTCTGCTTCGGTTAAATCTTTTTATGCTACTATTATCTTATGTAGGATGTTTGCCTTGAATAAATGGGAAGTAGTGAAACAAGTGGCCTTAGGCCTTATAGCCCTCATCTTGAATTGTCTGTGTAGTTTTGTCGTAACTGTATGTTTATATTTTGTTACAAAACAGGAGAAAGAACAGTCTGCATTGCGTGCACATAGCAGCTCTATCAGAGGCAGCAGAAGGCAATCTAAGATTTCTGAGGAGTGTGTGGTCAAGACTGAAAAGTTTCAACCGTTCATCAAGGAGGAAGTGCTTTCTGAAATTTATAATGTAGGGATGCATGCCCCTCTTTTCTGAAATTTATAGCATCTGATTGATTTGGGATCGTACTTAATTCTACATTTTTTATTTCCCAAAATTAACTTGCAGGATACATTTCCCTGCATGGCGGAGCAATTCTTTAAATTTTTATGGGATGATGGTTCGTCCTTCCTAAATGAGTATCGCAACATCAGAAAGGATTCGAACCTCGTCGTAAGTAACGCTTTTGCCCAGAATTGCTTGTTCGATGACAAAATTGTCTGTATTAGTCAAATGACCCTTCCTGTTATGCTAACTTCAGATCGGTCAGTGGCATGCCGCTGATGAATATGATGGACAAGTGAGAGAAATTACATTTAGATCCTTGTGCAACAGTCCAATGTGCCCGCCCGATACAGCTATGACAGAGTGGCAACATGTTGTTTTATCAGCAGATAAAAAAATAGTGGTGGGACCCAACTCTATAATGATATCAATCGTTTTGTGATTTGTTTGATTTGAAGACATAGATATGATTATAATTCGGTTACGTGTTTAGGTGTTTGAGACTGTACAACAGGCGCATGATGTTCCATTTGGATCGTATTTTGAGGTAAGTGCCATCACTTTTTAGTTTTTCATTTTCATATGTGTGATCTTAATACATTAACTCAACAAAAAAAAAAAAAAAATCTATAAATATTCATGTCTTAAAAAATAAGCAGTGACATAAATAAGTAATAACACGATCAATTCATTTGTTTATCCCTTGTTCTTTTTTAACTTCATTTTTGTTATTCATCTTTGTGAACCAGATCCACGGTAGATGGTCGCTCGAGTCGAACTCCGAGTCTTCTTGCATCTTGAATATTAAAGTTGGTGAGTATCAACTAGTGCTTACATATTTCTGTTTTTGTTTTTGAACTTGATTCAAGCATTGATGCTTTTTATTTGGTTACTTTAATTCGTTGGAGCGTTGAGTGGTACGGCTAATTGTACATGTTAATATGCTGGCAATGCTGAATTTGACCATGCAAATATGGCGTAGACCCCTACTTGATAATTTACCCCTAGCTAGTTGTTTTGTCGGTACACCATGCATTTTATTTCTGGCTTTTTTTTTTTTAAAAATTTGAAATTAATGAACACGATTACATTATAGAAATGAGATGTGATGCAATGAAATCTTTAAATTAGTAAAAATATTAGAGGAGTGCAATTGTGAAATTTCTTACGTTTTCAGGTGCACATTTCAAGAAATGGTGTGTGATGCAATCCAAGATTCGATCCGGTGCCATCAATGAGGTATCTCTCACTGTCTGTTTATTATTGTTATATTTTTTAACAATGAAATTGCAAAAATGCCATCGTGTTCTTTTCCATTTGGTGACAACAAAAATCCGGAAAACTAATTTCTTAATAATAATAATAATATAAATTGATGGAACTTTGCAGTATAAGAAAGAGGTGGATATAATGTTAGATGTGGCTCGTTCGTATATTCAGTCGAAGACCTCTACTAGTGAGTTCGAAACTATCGCACCATCTCCACTTGCCGTTCAAGAAAATAGATAACCTGGCTGGTATTATTGCAAATCACCAACAGGATGCTCGATTCAGGAAAGTTGCTCACAGTTTTGTTTCTTGTGTACGTACGTAGTAGTGTATGATAACGTTCCTCTAAAAGCTGTCTGTAATCACCTGTCTAATTATTGCAGCTCTTCGAAAATCCCATAATGTATGTATGTATATTTATATATGCACCCTTTTGAGTGGTGGTGCTCTTCTGTGTAAAATATGTGCAATACAGTTTACTCATTGTAACAGAATTATAATTATATACCTACTCTCTCTCTCTCTTTTTTTTTTTTTTTTAGTAAATATAGTTTCATCTCGAAGCTAACTCTTTTCTATACTGCAAACGTGTTATTTGTCCGTTTACAGGAGGATAGTTAGTGGTTCCCAATTCCCCTCTCGGTGTCTCGAACTCATGACCAAATACTCCTAGGTGCAATGTGCTTACCAACGGGCTACCTTGTCTTGACGTTGCATGTATGTCATGTTATCACTTGCTAGTTTGATGCTGCATCTAGATTTTACGGAGTGTAAAAAATGCATCGATAATTGTAAAAGATATAGAAAATGACTAAAATATCCTTTATCGTTTATTATTTCTTCACTACATTATGGAGCTAATAATTAGATTGTTACAAACTTGAAGTATCAAAGTAAATTAACCTCTTAAGTTCAACATAGATACACAAATAAATCAATCATCTTCAACAAATGGGTGGCTTTCGCTGCTCGTCTCGACCTTATTTGTGTTGTATGCCTTTAGCTACCTATTGAAGTTAACTCACAGATTTTGAGATGCGATAAACAAAAGAAACACGGAAAAAAACTTGTATGGACAACGTACGAAAGAAACAAGAAAAAGAATTAATCAGCAGACATACACATATAGTTTGGCATGCATAATCTGTTATGAAATATATGTAAATCCAACATAATAAAACAGTAATAAGTATACTTACATTTACTGACCATGAGTTGGAATTTGATTCCTATCCACATAGACTTTGGGGATATGGGAAATCTTAGGCCACTCTGAATCATCATTTTCATCATCATCTCTTTCTCGTATTTTCTTCATATTTAATAGTGGACAACGACCGATATCTAATTCACTTAATTTGGTGAGGCGTAGCATCGCTTCCTTTGACGGCAAATGTCGCAACTTCTTGCAGTTGTTTATATGCAACAGCTGTAGAGATGACGAAAAGCTGCTGTTGTTCCCAAACCATTCAGGAAATTCTTGCATATTTCCTAAATCATGTAAGAACAGCCTAGAAAGAGCAGTGAGATTTTGAATCTGACTCGGTAGATAACCACTACTTTGGTCGTCACAATTATGCCCTTTCAACGACAAGGTATTAAGAGATTTGGCCGATGCTTTCAAAATGGCATCAACGAATGAATTTGAGTACTCATCACATCTTGTACTACCGATGCTTAAATGCCGCAAACTACTGCCATGACCGGAAGAAGAACCGGCTTTAATCTCCGAGAATGAAGATGAATTAGTGGTGATCATATTCATCATCGGAACATCAAGAGTTAGTGACGATAGACGAGGCATTTTGTTCAAACAATACCCCTCAATCACCGCTCCCATATTCCTTAAATTCGTCAATCCCGTCAGTGTCAAAGTCTCGAGGGATGACTCCATCATTTCATGTGGATAAGGTATTGTTTCCAGATTCGGGCAATCAGTTACAGTCAATTTCTCGAGAGCATTGAGGCTGTGTAGACCATCTGGTAATTCTCTCAATTTCGGACATTTAGATATAAACATATCCCTGAGAGAAACTCCCGCACCTTCCAAGCGCGGAACTAGACGCGTTAAGTTGTTACAATACAATATCTCCAGCTCCCTAAGATTTTGATTGTTGCTGAATAACCAATCCGGGAGACACGTCAATCTATCAATTGAATTGATTCGGAGCACTGTAAGCGAGTTTAATTTGATCCCACATATACTTGCGAAAGGTAATTCGCTGCCTACGTCAGAAATCACCAATTCTTTAAGGCATGGGAAGTGACTTGGAGCACTCATCAGTTGCTCGCAATCATGGACCCCCAAGAATTCGAGGCGAGGAAATACCACCAATTCTTGATTCTCTACTGCACTTGGCAATGCCGCTTCTAACCATCCCGTCAGTTTTGGCATTCCCCGCAACTCGAGCCTTACAAGTGCAGGAAACACCGTCTTGGAAACTCTGCTGCTTGATGTGCTACTACAGTTGTCATCGATTCCGTAGAATAAGAAACCTATGGTTTGCACATTGTCTAGACCCCTTAAAAAAATAGACTTGAGATTCGGCAAGTGCCCTAGCGTCGGGACTCGTTCACATTCGTTGCACCCTGCAATCATTATCATCGTCAAATTATTAAGCCCGAACAAATTCGAAAACCATGACGGAAAACGTTTTCCTCTGAATCCAGCAATCATTAAACTTCTTAGATTTGGATGGGGTTGGAGACCTTCCAACACACTCTCATCACAATTTTCACCCTCTCTATTTTCATTACTCCAATTAAGCGTTAAGTGGACAATGTCTTGCTTTTTTGATAAATTTGCACTCTCGGCCTCTTCTTTGCTATGCACCTTTTCAAGATTATGAATCAATAGTTCCCCCTGGATATTCTTCAAGCTTCCAAGCTCACCAATTCCACAACCATTTTCATCGCCGACTCCAAAGTACGGTAGTGTTCGAAGAGAAGTTAATCTTCCTATCTCTGGAGGTAATTTTATTGGAGGAATGTGGAGATGTCTTAAGCCAGTCAAGTGTTTCGTTGTCTTTGGCAGCTTCTCCAAAGCATAACATGCTCTAAATGTCTGCAAGTGATAGAGTTCACCAATAGAGTCTGGCAAACATTTAATCCTTGTGCCTGAAATGTCAAGACATCTCAAATGTATGAGCTCGCCGAGTGAACTTGGCAACTCTTCATCATTGCTTTCAACACCATCTCCGACGATAATTAGAGCATGCAGGCATTTGAAATCTGACAACATGATATCACGTACATTACCATGGAAATATAATGAACGAAGATATCTTGCTTGTTCTTTTAGGATACGACTTGTTTCAACATCAGTAGATTGTAGGGTGATATACCGAACAGGGTACGCCTCGTCCCAAACATTATCCGTCTTTGAATTTGAAACAAATGATGCTACATCATGAACAAGATCATGCATGTTATAGTATGTTTCCCTGTCGTACTTACCTTTCTTCACAGCTTGTAACAATGAGTTATGTAGGAGATGACTAAAGAATTTGTTGCCCACAACCTCCATATCATCATTTCCTCCAAGAAATCCCTCTGCCATCCAAAGCTCAACCAACCTTTCCTTTTCCAAGTTAAATCCTTTAGGAAATGTCGAACAGTACGCAAAACACTTCTTGAGTGATGGCGACGACAAATGATCATAACTCAACTTCAATATATTTGAGACATTATTTTCACTTCCGGACTTTGAGAGCCAATTCTTTTCAATTGAAATCCACTCATCGATATTCTTATCACGCAACAATGCCCCCACCACTTTTGCCGCCAATGGCAAACCTTGGCATCTTCTTGCAATAGATACCCCAACAGTCTCAAATTCTGATGGAATATTTTTATCTTCTCTAAAGGCTTTTGCTCTGATTATGGACCAACACTCAGCTTCCGGCAAGTTTTTTAATCGATGTACAGGAAGTGTTCTCACAGCGGAAGAAACAATTTCACTTCTCGTAGTAACAATGATGCCATTTCCCGTCCCGGAACTAATTCCTCTCAAGGGATTAATAAAATCGTCCCATATTTCCTGATTTTCATTCCAAACATCGTCTAGGACAAGTAGAAATTTTTTACCTCCCAAATGTTTCTGAATCTTTTCCAGAAGAGCTTGTTTGTTTCCAAGTTCGACGTTTGTCTCTGTTAACAATGTAAGAATCTTGTTGAAAAGAATCACGGCATCGAACTTTTCAGAAACATGCACCCATAAATGCTTATCGAAATGTGTCCTTATATCATCATGATCAAATACTTGTCTAGCCACCGTTGACTTTCCGAGTCCACCCATCCCGACAATGGAGAGGATAGAGAGTACTTGATCATTCGGAAGAGTAGTCATCGTCTTCACAATTGCAGACACGTCATTTTCTCTTCCAAGAAAAATCGGATCGATACTGAATGCATCAGTTTCCCGGCCTGCAGATGATCCAGTAACCGGAGCATGTGCACCTGCAATGGTCTTCTGAAGGCCATATTTGTTTGCCTCCATGTTGATCTCTTCCAAATTTTGATTGATATCCTTGATTTTACGTGCCATTTTTAGACGACGTGCATTGGGAACGCATTGCGGGAAGAAGCATCGCACACGTGCCTTTTTCTTCATTTTGTATTGCGTCTGGATTTTCTTGGAGAGGTTTCGATAGTTAAGCTCATCCAAGACATTGTCGGCATCGAAGGCGACACCTTCAAGCTTCTTCAACCAGCGTTTGACGGCTTTTTCGGTGATTTGCTTCTTCTCCGCATCGTCCAAGAGATCTTGAATCATAGAGAGAGACTCTTTTAGCTTTTTCAGGTCTTTCTTAAAATCTCGAACGAGGCTTATTTGCTCCTCCGAAAGTGTGATCAGATTTTGAAGTAAAACTTGAACTGCAGCTCCTACCGCAGCTTCTGCCGCCATTGTTTTGTTGGAATGTGAGTTTGTTTTACACACAGAGTTTTTTCTTTGAGAGAGAGAGAGAGAGAGTTTTTTCTTTCTTTGAGAGAGTTTTTTTTTTCTGAGAGAGAGAGAGAGTTTTTTTTTTTGAGAGAGAGTTGTTGTTGAGGAAATTGGAAATGGTGACAACTTCCGTGATGTTTTGGAAATCAGATTCTTTTCTTGGTTCAATCCAAAAGTACAGCCATATGCTGATTCCCATCAATATAATTTGTGGTTCTTTTACTCAACAGGCAATTATTTTTTAGTGTTATTGCATTCAGCACCCTATATTTTCACTAATTTGTTAAGAAAGCTCCATATGTTATTTTATTAGCAAAAAACCCCCTACGATTCAATGATTTGAAAAGGGCAAATTGCACGTCACTCTCTATAAGTTTCTAATTTTCGCACTTTACCCCCTCAAAATTTGGAAATGTGAATTCCCACATTCAAAATGTTATTCTTGTTGCACATTGTCTCGATAGCAAAATTTCGATGGATTATTCACTGTAATTGAGTGTTTTTGTTGCACGTTGTTCCTTTAAAATGTTATTTTTGTTCCACCTTGTCCCTTAAAAACATTATTTTTCTGCACGTTGCCCCTTTAAAATGTTATTTTTGTTGCACAGTGCCCAACAAAAATTGGCTTTTGGGGCAAAGTGCAACCAAAATAATATTTTGAAGGGGGTTATCCTTTTTTTTTTTAATTTATAAGGGGAAAAGTGCGAAAATGAAAAATGTATAGGGGATGAAGTACATTAGATCCTTTAAAAAAACTACCGCTAAAGCAACTCCAACCCACAAACATCAAAATGAATTATCAAATATTTATTTGATATTTTATATTTTAGTTTGATACCTAATTAAATTTATTTGCTCCAACCATAGATATCAAATAGTTGATAATTAAAAATAAATAATGTGATTTTAAATTTTAATTAACACATGTCAGTTTCTAATTGACTATTTAGGTAGTTAAGTTGTGTAACTTCTAATTGGCATTATTTCTTCCGGATGTATTTTTACATCCCAAAAATTAAAATATCAAAATAGAAACCCATTTGATAACTCCATTGGAGTGGAAAATTTCTAATTTGAATTATCAAAATGGTAGTTAATGATTTTGATAACCCATTTAATAACTCCATTGGAGTTGCTCTAAGTACTCCCTTTTTAGGGGTTGTGTGCTAAAAAAATGCATTATAAGGAAGTTCTAGCTAATATTTATATCACGAGGAATGCAATAAACTCATAATAATATCATTTAATGGGACAATGTAAGGGTTAATCTCAAAAAGGCCCATGACAATGAGACTTAATTAAAAAATGGACATCCAACTTTTTTGTAAATCAAATATTTCCAGCTCATTCAAACTTATTTGCAAATAAGGAAAACCCTTTTATATATACCAAAATTACCCCCAATTCCTTGAAACCTAATTCAACTCCAATTTCATGATTTACACCCCAATTTAACCCAATTTCACCAATTAACCAATTTTGACCCTAATTTCAATTTTGACCCGTCACCACGTTGACTTTTTTTTTTTTTTCTGAATTTTTTTCCGGTAGGTCAACCGCCGTTGACTGCCGGGTCTCCGGCACTTCTTTTTAAATAACTTTTTTATAATTTCATTTTTCTTAAAAAAAATATTTTAATTAATATTACTGTCCTTGCTGCTAAATTACTGTCTCCAACAGTTATTTAACTGTCGGAGACAGTAATTCAACTGTTAATTTACTTTTTTATTTTCTTAAAAAAAATATTTTAATTAATATTACTACTGTCTTGGCTGCTAAATTACTGTTTGCAGTAGTTATTTAACTGTCGGAGACAGTAATTTAACTGTTAGTTGATTTTTTTTTTCTTAAAACAAATATTTTAATTAATATTACTGTCTTGGCTGCTAAATTACTGTCTCCAGCAGTTATTTAACTGTCGGAGACAGTAATTTAACTGTTAATTTACTTTTTTTTTTCTTAAAAAAATATTTTAATTAATATTACTTTTTTGGCTGCTAAATTACTGTCTTCAGCAGTAATTTAACTGTCTGAGACAGTAATATTACAATATTAATTAATTTTATCGTCTTGGCCTGCATTTTTGCTGTTTTCGACTGTAATATTATTGTCTCCGAACGTATACTGTCTCATGCAATAATATTACTGTTTGGGACAGTATTATTAGTAATATTACTGTTCGGGAAAATAATATTCATAATATTACTGTCCAAACAGTAATATTACTGTCTGAGACAGTAATTTAGCAGCCAAGACAGTAATATTAATTAAAATATTTTTTTCTAAGAAAAAAAAATTCAAAAAAAAAAAGAAAAAAAAATTCAACACCGGAGAACCGCCCGGTCAACGCCGGAATCTGGCCGGAAAAAATAATTTCAGAAAAAATTATTTTCTGAAAAAAAAATATTTTTTTCAAAAAAATATTAAAATGGGGTTAATGTGATATATTTGTTTAAATCCGGGGTCAATGTGTAATATTAAGGAAGTTAGAGTATAATGGATGAAATTGATAAAAAAAAATATATTATGTAGGATATTTTAGACTAAAGATATGGGGATGAACTTATTTGAAAGACTGTTAATTTTTTGTTAACTAATGTGCATTTAAGTCCCTTGTCATTTCCCTTTTTGCCATTTTCCCACAAAGTAAATGAGCTGAATTGTCAATTTTGGCTATGCTTTAAAATACTAAATTTTGACTATGAAATAATAAATCATATTGATCTTGATAGGCCAATACACAAATCTAAAAAGTTAACCATGGTTAGCTTCAAAAGTAACACATGCCGATTGCTTTTCTTCAATTATAGAGCACTAGAAGTAAAGACTAGTATCTGATTCTCTCCCATGATATTTTCCATCACCCAAATCACCCAACCACAAAGCAATCTTATCTCATGTCTCCTTATCACTTTAGCTCGCACTAGTCTTATTTATCAAAAAAGAAAAAGAAAAAGAAAAAGAAAAAGGCTTAAAATACAAATTAAAGTAATTTAATAAAACATTCATTGGAGTTTAAAAAATATTTAAATTGTTTAAAGTTGGGTTGGTACAATGATTGGATGGAAAAAAGTACTTATCCATATACTAAATAGGACAAATTACAGCCACTCTTGAGGTAAGGTCGAATTACGAAAAAAAAAACCTATTGTTTGTGTGATTACAATCACCTCTCTCAACTATGTACTGTCTTACATGTCCACACTTATGTGGTCAAATTTACACAGGGGTGTTCATTCGGTCGATAAACCGACCCGAACCGAATCGAATGAAAATTCGGTACATGCCGATTACCGGTCCAGTAACTCGGTTCGATAATCAGTTTTTTATTATTTTATATAAAATATTAGTATTTAAACTAAAATTAATTAGAAAAAATAAAAAAAATCAAATTCTTAAGTAGTTTAATAAAATTTCGGTAATTCGATTATTTACCAAACCGTACGATAAACGGTATGAAATTTTGTCGTACCTCAATTTCGGTACGATTTTACCTTGAACACCACTAAATTTACCAGCTGGAGGGTTTTTTTTCGTAAGACAACACATAGGTGAGGGATGGCTGTAATTATGCAAACTAGAAGGGTTTTTTTTTTTCTCGTAATTTGACCTTACCTCAGGGGGTTGCCGTAATTTTCCGTACTAATTATAAGGTTTCTTCCCTTTATTGGTCATAGTCGCCGCCGGATCTGGTGACCTCGCCGCAGCTTTCTAAATCAGCAAAATGGTGACTAAGAGGCTCAATAACAACAACCAAACACTACTCTTAATCACATCTTGAAATATATATTATTATGGCATAGTGGAGTTTGCGTTTCTCAATTTTTTTTAGTGTTCGTTTCTTTTGCATGAAGTATAATACAAATTGTTACATGTTTTTTGGTTGATTTGGAAATAAAGATATATTTTTCTAAAATTTCTTGTAATTAAAAAAAAAAAAAAAGACTTTTGCTGCAAGTGGTAGCAAATGAAATTAGAATAGAAGCTTTAATATACCCTAGATGAAGAAAGATAAATATTAGATTTTTAAGACAATTCTGCCCTTCATTCAAATGAAAATCTCGCGAGAAATACACACGGGGTGCAAGTTGCCAAGAGATAAATAATTTGAGGGTGCGCTTTGCCAAATTTAGAATTTTGGGGTGCAAGCAAGTCACGATCTATGTTATTTCCAGGATGCAAAATGCAATTTAAAAAAATTGAGAGTTTTAAATAACTAAGCAAAGAATGAGATTAGTGAAGTGCAGTTGAAAGCGTTCATGTTTGGATAACATCTATTAGGGATGAAGAGTAAAACTCTCTTTATACAAGAGATATCAAATAAAAGAAAATGGTAAATCCAATAATTCGTATACTTACAATATTTATGGAACAGGCACATGGAGTTGGGGGATATGGGAAATCTTGGGCCACTCAGAACCATCTCCACGTTTTACGCCTAACATCGGACAATTGAGGATGACTAACTTTGTTAAGTTGGTGAGACGTAGCATGGCTTCCTTACTTGTTGCATTCGAGTAGCGTTATTGTCTCTATCGAAGAAAAGTTGTTGTTCCCGATTACCCAGTCAGCCAATTCTTCTATATATCTCTCGAAAATCAGTTAACTGTAGCTCAGAAAGAGTAGTGAGATGTTGAAGCTGACGCGGTAGCTAGATATTCACCATGATGCCCCCGCAATTGTAATCTACGACGAGATTTGGTTGATGCTTTCAAGATGGCATCAACAACTGTAATTGAACAACTGATCTCCAAATCTCTGAGGGTGCCAAGAGAAAAAGAACCAACAATGTTATTAGCGGTTGGAACATAAAAGAAATCTCAACTTAGAGAGACGAGGCATTTTCTGGAAACAATACCCAATGTTCATCCTTAAATTCATTAATCCTACCAGTGCCAAACTCTCCAAGGACTGCGCACACGACTCTATCATTTCGCTCGGCAAATTGGTCAGCCCGTCGCAATCTTCAATTGTCATTTCACGAAGGGAACTCAAGCCTAGCAATAACTGATCATCGTCAGTATGTGTTTCATGTGGATATGGTATTGACTTCAGATTTGGACAATCGCATATAGTCAATTTCTCGAGAGCACTGGTAATTCTCTAAATTTCGAACAATCAAGTATCGCTAACTCCCTAAGAGCAATTCCTCCACCTTCCAAGCACGGAACTAGATGCGTTAAGTTGCGACTATTCCGTATCTCCAACTTCAAGATATCTTGATATTTACGTAACAACCAATCTGGGAGACACGTCAATCCGATCCATTAATTAAATAGATATTATATTTTTACCAAACTTGTTCATGACATTAAATTGACTGGAGATAAAAACATTGATGATTATACTCCAATTGTTCTTTTAAATGCCATTCTTGATACGTATAGTGATGTAAAATCTGCTCTAAAGTATGGTAGAGATCCGATTACTCTTGACATTGTGATTAATGGTTTAAAAAGCAAAGAATTGGATTTAAAATCGAATAGTGGTAATAAATCTTTTGGTGATGTTAACTTTGTGAAATGAAAGCCTAAAAACAAGTGTCAAAACATGGCTTCTTCGTAATAACAACCAAAATCAGTCTCTTCAAAAACCTAAAAAGGGCAATGTGTGGAGTGGGAACAAAGTTAAAGGCAGAAAATATTACAACTGTGGAAAGCCCGGTCATTATGCAAATGAGTGCCCTGAACCTAAAAAAGGAAAAAAATAATGAACAAGCTAATGTTATAACTGATAATCTTGGTGATGTGTTCATGATTGGTGATTTTGTGCATGACTTTGTGAATTAAGTGATTTCATCTCTCTGTGATGATGATGGGATCTTTGATTCTGCATGCACACACCATATGACACCTAATAAACAATTACTCTCATCTTAAGTGAAATTGAAAAATGGTGATATGTCTATGGCTGATAGAAACGGTATAAATGTAACTGGAATTGGAACTTTTTGCCTTAATTTTGAATCTGGTTTTGAACTTTTACTTAAAAAATGTTAGGAATGTTCCTAACTTGAGTAGTAACTTGCTGTCTTTTGTTGTGTTAGTGGGTAGTGGTTTGCATGGTAGTTGGGGACATGGTTGTGAAAGAATTATGAAAGGTGATCGATATGTGTTTAAAGTTGTTAGAATGCAAAATATGTATGTGTTATGCTGAGTCTGAATCTGTTTTGCATGCTAATTCTGTGAAAAAAACAAGGATGGCGATGGTACTATAGAGAGAAGGAGACAAGAAGAGAGAGAAGCGGCGCAGCTGAATGAGCTGCTAGTGTTGAGAGGGAGGAGAGTAAGGGAGAGCGAATGAACATCAAAAATCAATCACACAAGATGGACGGCCAAGATCGGATCATACTTGGGTAGAAGGCTTAAGTTGCTTGGACCCAAATTCCTTGGTTTGGGCTGGCAGAATTAAAAGTCCGTGCCCACATCACAAAATTCATTTGTGGGCCCAATCCTCAACATGATCAAATAAAATTGCTAATTTTTTTTATTATACTTTATAAATTTAATTATATTTTAAAGTTGGAGATAGATTTAAGAGAGTTTTATTGTGATCCCTTTTTTTTCTCAATATTTATTTGATTTACTTCGATGTGTCTGCCATCAATTGACATCGCGCATGAATTTATATTGGATCTTGATTTTTTATTCTTTATTCATTCTATCGAATAATGATAAATATTTGCATTGAATGTCTCATAAATATGTGTAAATTATTTAATACATTATTATTGATAACATTGTAAAGAAATAAAAATTATGGTTTACGATTCATTACGAGTTCCACTTGTTTGTAGAAATGCTCCAATGAGGACTGTTTTGTTGACCACAAACCCAGATATGTTTCTCTAACATATATGTAACGTAATGGTTATACTTTGCTGACATCTCTAGTATTGTCCTTCTTGACTGAATTTTCCATCTGTCGATTTCCAAGTTGGAAAGGTCTAGTATAATCAACGACTCAGATGGAAAGCTCGACGACAAGGTGGGTTACAATGCATATTATTTGGAACCTAGCTCAAATCCTGAGTAATGAAGAAACCTGTCTGAATTGCCTTGAATTTGAGAAACTTGACTTAATTTTTGTCTGGTTTGGCTAACGAATTAGTCTCGTTTTTATTAGAGAACACGGACCCGAACTCAACAAGGCAAAAGTATTTTTCCAAAACCTAAGTACATAACTAAAAATCGGAAGAGTTTCCATCATACTATAATTGATTCACATTAAAAAAAACTTATTCAAATTAGAAAAAATATATACTACCAAACAAACAACATCTGTGGTACTTGGGCATATGCTTCTGTTTCAGGTCTAATCCCTGCGGGAAAATCGACCTTTGATTTTCTGCAGCTCTGTTATAACTTCTTTCATGTTTATTCTATCACCAGAAGATTCCGCACAACACTTCAAAGACAAATCCAGTATTGAAGACACACATTGCACGTTTTTTTCAAAGTCTTGTTCATTTTCTGAATTCAATAAATTGGCATCTATAACCTCACTTGATGACTCGTTATTAAGTGAGCTTTGAACCCAATTCTTTAAGGTCAAATCTCCATTGAACATATCATCGCTCGGCCTTTTTCTCGTAAAAGTTTCCATCACCATCACTCCATAGCTATAAACATCACACCTTGTCGAAACTAGCCCTCCCAGACCATACTCTATAAAACAACAAAATATCATATAATGCAGTAAATCAAAAGTGAAATCCAATTGATAATATAGAAAATTGTATGGGTTGAAGTGACAATATTAATTAACCTGGTGCAATGTAACCGATTGTTGCTAGGGTGTTGGTGTGCACAATGCTCTCACCTTCACCCATCAATTTTGCTATCCCGAAATCACTCACGTGGGCAACCATTTCTTCATCTAACAACACATTGCTTGGCTTCAAATCGCAATGAACAATGAGAATCGAATAGCCATGGTGAAGATATTCCAACGCACATGCAACATCGATCATTATGTTCAATCTTTGTATGAGATCCAAGCAATAGTTGTGGGAATATAGCCATTTGTCGAGGTTTCCATTTGGCATGTATTCAAGTACCAGTGCCTTGAAATCCTCATTTGAGCAACTGCTAATGACTTTGGTAAGATTTCTGTGACGGATGTTGCGTAATACTTCACATTCGACTCCGAAGCTCTTAGAAGAAGCTTCGGATAGCGAGTTGAAGACCTTGACAGCAAAAATCTTCCCATCTCTTCGAACAGCTTTGTACACAGAACCAAAACTCCCCATGCCTATTAAATTCGTCTCACTGAAGTAATCAGTTGTTTGTAGGAGCTCGTAATACGAAATTCTTTCTGATATAGTGGGAACTAACCCGTCAATTACATTGATTGCCTTATGTTTTCTTCTGTATCTTACGAAAACGAAGGCCAAAGAGAGAAGCGATATCAATGCAACAACCCCACTAGCAATAAATAAAGCTAAGCGCACCTTTTTCATCATTGACCTATGTTTGGAAACATTATGGTTGCAAAGTGGTACATTGAACCTTGGAATTCCACATAACGCATCATTCCCCTTAAAAGAATCGATAGTGAAGTTTAAAAAAGGACCACCTGTCGGAATTTCCCCTCTCAGAGCATTGAAAGAGACATTAAGGTAGTCAAGGTATTGAAGTGCTTCAAGAGACTTTGGGATTGAGCCGAAGAGGCTATTGTAAGAAAAGTCTATACTTACCAAACTGATCATTCTCCCCACGGAATCGGGAATAGAACCTTCCAGTAGATTATGTGCCAAAGACAGAGCATTCAAAGATATTAAATTTCCGATTGTGTTTGGAATAGACTCTGAAAACCTGTTCATTGATAGATTGATCCGAATTGTTTTCACTAAATTACCTATTTCTGGAGGTAGAAATCCAATCAAAGAATTTGACGACAAGTCTAAATACATCAAATCCGTGAGGCGCCACATGCTTGATGGTATGGTTGAAGTCAGCATGTTAGAATCTAGAAAGAGTTTTCTTAAAGATGTGATATTTCCTAAACATTCAAGTATTGGACCGGAAAATTTATTTTGGCTTAAATATAAATCAACCAAGCTGTGTAAATCACAAAGACCCTCTGGAATGGAACCACTCACATTGTTGTTATGTAAATATAATCCTTGAAGCTTCTGCAAATAGTTGAAAGTAAGTGGAATGTTACCAGACAACTCGTTTATGTGTAAAGAAAGTGCCATGAGGTTGCTTAAATTGCCGATTTCTGTAGGAATGATTCCCTTAATTTCACAATTGTGGGCATATAAATGTTGCAGCGAGGTAGATAAATTCCCAATGGAAGCTGGAAGGATGCCACCTAAAGGATTATCACCAATTGCGAGCACTCTTAATGATCTGCAATTTGTCAAGGAAGTTATGAAGCTCAATTCCGAAGAAGTTGATTCGGTCCTTAGATTGTTAACGGCTAGGGTTATATATTCAAGGTGTCTTAGGTTACCCAAAAAATGAGGTACAAAGCCAGTGAGCTCGTTTAAAGCGAGTTCGAGATATCTGAGTTTAGAACAATTAGTGATGGAATTGGGTATTGTTCCAGTGAGGTAGTTTGTATGGAGAAACAATGTCTCAAGAACGGGTAACCCGTGACCTAAATTAGTTGGAAGACCGCCTGACAGACTATTTCCTGAAAGATCAATATCTATAAGATTTGACATGTTAAAGAGCTCTAATGGAATAAAACCAGTGAAGGAGTTGTAGTATAATTGTAATACTTTAAGTTGGTAAATTTTGCCAATTTCTCGCGGTAAACCACCTGTCAAGATAAAATAAAGGGTAAATTACATCCACACCCCAGAGGTATGCTTAAATAACTTTAAGGTCCCTGTGGTATCGATAATCACACTCATCCCCCTAAAACATAGTTAGAAGCTCTAATGGGATAATGCATTGGATATGTTATTCCGGTAGAATTCTAATGGACTATTAGTTTCAGGAAGTGGTGGAGAGTCTGGAGACAACAAAGAGCTATTGGTGATTTACGAAATGTTGGGGGAGCCATGTCACCCCCTAACTTTATGTTGTCTCCACCACTAGCTAAAAATAATAGCCCGTTAGAACACTTTCGGAATAATTTATCCATTTCATTAATTCATTAGTGTTTCTAACTATGTTTCAGGGGATGAGCGTAATTATCGATACCACAGGGACCTTAAAATTATTTAAGCATACCTCAAATTTACCCTAAAATAAAGCAAAATAAAATTAAACATTACAACTATAAAGAAAGTAATAATATTGCAAGCTAGTCTTACCTGTTAAATTGTTGACTGAGATATCCAATTCGTTGAGCTTTGTAAGATTCCCAATATATTTTGGAAGGTTTCCATACAGTTGATTGTGATGTAGTCGTAAAAGTTGGAGAGAAGAAATATTGAAGATACTGAGGGGAATTGTGCCACTAATCTGGTTTCGATCAATTTCAAATTCATTCAGGTTCTGAAGATTCCCAATCTCGGACGGGATAACACCTATATATGGAACACCAAAAAAAAATAGCTCTTACGAAAATATATAATCATCGTGATATTGAGGTTTCCAACTTTCTTGAATCAAATTGTGATGGAGCTTGAAATTAAAGAAGAAAGAGAAAAACAATGTCATGATAATGACATTGTATTTAAACGAGAAAAGCAAAACTATATCAACCTTGTTCAACAAGAATGTGAGGTTATTATACCATTTATATTGTTATTCGCGAGATTTAAAATCGGAAGAAATTTTACCACTAAGTAAGTTGTTCGACAGTGATACAAATCGAAGTTGTGAACATTTAGTTAGACTTGATGGAATTTCGCCAGCGATCTGGTTTTGTTCAATGGCAAATAGAATGAGGTTGTGAAGATTGCCAATCTCGGACGGGATAACACCTATATATTGAACACACACAAAAAATTGTAAAAAGAATAATTATATAATCATGATGACATTGAAATATCCATGTTGAATTTAAATGCGAAACACAAAAAAAAATGACCGTGATACATACATACCTTTTAAATTGTTACCCCCGAGATATAACATCCGCATAAATTTTAGCTTGCCAATCTCTATGGGTATCTGCCCACTAAATAAGTTGTAAGACAGTGATACAAATCGAAGTTGTGAACATTCGGATAGATTTGACGGAAGTTCGCCACTCAGCTTATTGAGATATAGGTCAATTTCTTGAAGAAGTGGAAGTTTACTACACATGTCACTTGGAATGCTGCCACTCAATTCGTTTTCTCGGAAAGATATAACTTTCAAGGCCGACAGGTTAAATACGGATGACGGTATATGACCGGAGAGATGATTGTAGTCCATGTATAAAGTGTGCAGATTGTGAAGCCTCCCTAGCAAATGTGGAATATTTCCTTGAAGAAAATTTGAAGAAAAATCAACAACTCGTAGATTTGTCAGATTAGAGAGGGAACTCGGGATGAAACCGGTGAAGCTATTATTTTGTAAGGAGATAAACTTCAATCTGTGTAGAAGAGACAGTTGTTGAGGAATAACACCACTGAAAAGGTTGCTACTAAGATCGAGCGAAACAAGGAAGGAAAGGTTTTCTATTTGTGGTGGAATTGTGCCCGAGAGACTCATGTGGGAAATATTCAGTGCGGTTACTCGATGGTTGCGCAAATCGCAGGTGACGCCAATCCAGCTACAGACAGAGCTCGAATTGGTCCAATTGCTTGTAATAATACCATAAGGGTCCAAATTGACGTGTGATTTAAGAACGAACAGAGAAAATTGATCTGTGGCGAGGGTGGTTGAATTTTTTACGGCTACACAATAACACGACATTTGGAGTAGGACTGATGTACATGCAAGAATGTAATAGCAAGTTTTTTCCATAGCTGCAAATAGAGAAGAGAGTTAGTTATCCAAGTCTTGAATGTAAAGACAAAAGTCTTGAGTTTATGATTTATATGTAGTTTCGGTTGAAATTTATATAGGGAAAACAGAGATAAAAATTATAAAGAATTAAGAATTAATAATATAAAGTCAGAATATTTTTAGTGAGACTGAAATAATTATGACAAATTGAGGCAGCAGCCAACAAAGACTTGTGCTAACTGCTAATTGTATAATATGACTGACACTGGTGGAAGTTTTAGAAGCCATTAAATTTTAGGGTAAATTATGAAAACCCCCTGAACTTAGGCTTAATAACAAAAAACACCCCCACCTATCCGTAATAATCAAAATCCCCCTCTGATTAACTGTTGATCGAGTTTTTTAACAGTAAATGTGTACAGTCTATTATACTTTATGTTAAATAGGTGAGAAATAAAAGATAATATCTGAAATTGTGTAAAATCTATTCTCCACAATTAAAAATAAAATCCATGAAAAGTCACACTGTAAGGGGTTGGTGTAAGACGGAAACAAACCTCAGAGAGTTTTTGGTAATTACGAATAGGTTGAGGTGTTTTTCGTTATTTAGCCTAAGTTCAGGGATGTTTTCTTAATTTATATATAGTGGCAAATTTTGTCTCATTTTTTTTCTTTTTTCTTTTTTCTTTTCATGTGCCAATCACAGGGCATCCTGATTTTTTTAATACGCACTAATCGGTTATTTCCATTATCATACTGAGAAGCTTATTTAACAAACCGCGTTATCCCTTTTAAAAAGTGAAAAATGCGCGTTGTCCATGTTTGATAAACAACAAAAGTATTAGCTGACAAAATTTTATAATCTCAAAGTCTTTGAATATTTCAAAACACCCCACTGGGGTGTTTTTGGTCTACCGGTCAACGCGGAAATGAAAAATAGGTCGAATGCGATGTCTAAAAATATTTCAGTGGCCTACCAACGAGTAAATCTCGGAAATATACTTATTCCCTTTCTTTATGTTGTGTTCGGATGGACTGATTTGAAGCTATGGATTTCGAAAATATCATTAGAAATTAAAATTTATTCAGCTCGTTTGTACGAATTTCATGTTAAAATGGATTCCAAATCCTTCAATTATAATTTTGAACTATTTTTTAATAAATTCAACAAGGCAAAAGTATTTGGCCAAAACCATAGTACACAACTAGAATTAAGAGTTTCCACCATACTATATAGGGTAAATTACAACCACCCCCGATTTATGGTCAATTTACGAAAACCCCTCTCTTGTTTGGATAATTACATCTATCCCTCAACTATGAGTTTTTATTACTATATATGGTTGATTCATATTACATAAAAATACTCAAACTACAAACACAGCATCAAGTGCTGAACATATCATCGCTTGATGACTCGTTATTAAGTGAGCTTTGAACCCAATTCTGTAAGATTAAATCTCCACCGAACATATCATCGCTTGGCCGTTTCTCGGAAAAGTTTCCATCCCCATCGCTCCATAGCTTTATGTTGAATGACCATCCCAACCAAAAGCTTAAGTTGTTAGTGAAATGTATCATTTAATATTAATATCTCCAATACGCCCCCTCAAGTGCAGATGAATTACATTTGAAGCTTTGCACTTGAAATATTTGAAATGGGTGGCTGTGGGATTCGAACTCAGGACTTTTTCATTTGGCCTGGCTCTGATACCATGTTGAATGACCATCTCAACCAAAAGCTTGAATCTCGCATTAGGGTAATACATCTATGGTAATATATAGTAAGAACCCCATATGATTGATCGTTTGAAACGGCTTCAAGCCATGATGACTAATGAACCAATCTTGTCAACTGATGTTGGGATAAATAGTCTAAAGTGCTTATATATCCTCTGACTTAATTCTTGTACATAGGAAATGAGATTGAATTCCTTTAACAACAAATTTATACGCCATTTTATTTCACTCATATAACTATCTGGTTTAATTCATCAATTCCAACGATGAATAAAAAAAGTTTAACTTATTTCATTTTCTTGCTAGAATGAAATAGGGGAAATTTTCTGTCTCACCGAGTCGCACGTAGAGATATTGATAATTGTTGGCCGAAAACCTACACGCAAGTGCACGTATCGTACAAGTAATAAAGTGGACAATTAAGTCCGGATATCGATCACACAGAGAATATTTAATTATCTAATCCTAGACGCTAAATTCTGCCAATTATTATCAAGCCCACCCTACACAGTCGACTTTAGAGAGAATTAACTAAATTAAAGAAAATTAAAAAGACAAAGCAAGAAGGCAAATTAAACACGAATATTTATCAGAGTAAACAACCCTAGGATTTTATTCTCCCCCCTATGTGATTATTACTCCCCCAATTCCTTCAATTATGCAAGCAATTAACCCGGATTATTAACCTGAGATGCTAAAATAATCATAACCCGCTTCCGCGTGTATTACGATTCTAATACTCTAGATTCAATTACTATATTCCTATGCAATTAATTCTAGAACACAACATTAAGCACAAATCTCAATAATGGCTACCTAAGAGATTAACTATATTCCTATGTTAATACCACAAAGGCTCTTCTACCACAGTTCTAATTATTAACCCGATCTTCCGATTCATGCGATTAACAATAACATAAAAGCACATAAGGTGATCAAATTCATGCACTTAATAAAACAAGTAGGAGAAATAATCCGGAATTAAAACTTGCATAAATCATAGAATTGGGTTCATAAATCCCACATAGGGTTCCAAATAAAATCCTAGAAATAAAGACTTAGCTACTCGTGATTCTTATGATAAAGAAAATAAAATAAATAAATAAATAAAATAAGAAAAACTATGCTTGAGTCTTCGTTGATCTTCGTTCCTCGCGTTTTGTGGTGTAAAATTCCGTGCTTATGGTGTAGAGACTTGTTGCTTTTATAGGCTTTTCTTGATAAGGAAGTAGTGGAAACCTAATAGGAATCAATTTCCGCCACTTTCCCCTATTAGGACTTGTTCTTCGATTTGCGTCATGTTGGAGTCCGAATTTTGGAATGTTGTGTAAATAAGAATTGTAGCCCTTGAAATTAGCTTTCCAATGCCGCCAAAATCAGCTGATTTGGAGTTCGTATGAGAGAGATATGATTGAAATAGTGGACACTGCCAAAGCTGTGGCGAGATTCCTTCTTCCAATTTGATTTATTTCCTTATTTGCAACTTTTTCCTTTCTTTTTGATCTATTTTCCTTCATGGACACCTAATTCTTGTTTTTCACCTATAAAACACAAAATCAATCAATTAAAGCACAAATATAATTAAATCTAAACAAAAGATCCACGTAAAGTAAGCGTATTAAGCGTAAAATCTACACTCAACAATAATACACAGAGAGTTAATGGTATTTCATAACTAATTGATTGAGCAGCAGCCCTTAATTCACCTAAAAAGGAATATTTGTTATTTGATGCATATCCCGAGATAAGAAGTCCAACGGGAGCAAGACTAGAAATGGCGATCCATAAAAAAAACCAATACTAAGATCGGCTAGAATAAAGTGATAGCTAAAAGGAATTACCGAATAACTTAGTGAAATGGATATGACTGCTATGGATGGCCCGATACTGAATAAACGAGTATCTCCTCTAGATGGAAGAAGATTCTCTTTGAAAAGCAGTTTTGTACCATCTGCTAGAGCTTGAAGAATTCCCAAAGGGCCAGCGTATTCGGGTCCAACTAGCCCTTCCAAACCATACTCTATTTGAAGTGTCTACGCCACTACTGTAAATAAAAAAAAACCTCGTAAATGCCTAGTATAATTCCTCTTTTTTATGGGATATATGCTTCTGGCGTTTTGATCAAACTTATTTTTATTTCATTTTGGATAAAAATATTTATAGTTTTTTGCAAAAAAAATACCCCTGCGTAATCTTGAACTGCAAGAAAAGTCCATATGATAAAAAATATCAGCCAACCCCCCTATAAGTTTTAGTCAAAGGCATTTCCCCCCTATAGCTCGAGTTCGTGCGTCTCACCCGCGGTTTGTGCGAGTGGTGATGAGATTTTTTACTGGAAAAAGACATAAAGACCCTTCTATTCTTTTCATTAACAATTCAACTTTAAATGAAAATAGTCTAAATTTTAGGAACCCAATTGTAATTATCTATAATTTTTTTGACACCCAAATCACACGCAATTTTTCCAACCGGAAGCCATTTCCCCAACTTTCCACCCAATTTTCCTAACTATATGTGGCGGTGACGGCGACAGTGGTGGTAATGTGGGTGGGATATATTTTTTTTGAGTTAATTGCATAGACCCCCCTGTGTTATTTCTCGGAAGCAAAAACCCCCCCCGGAAAAAAAAATTAGCATATAACTCCCTATGTTGTGTTTTAGTCAGCCCACCGCCCCTTTGTGTGCACTGGCTCGTTGACTTACGTGAAATGACAGAATTGTCCTTAATAAAAAATAAAGCAAAAATTATTTCTTTGATGAGTGGTCAAATTATAAATAACTATAATTTATAGGACCAAATTGTAAATTTTAAAATTTCCAAAATTGCAATAAGGGATAAAAATTGAAGATTTTTTCAGATCTTCTTCTTCGTTTCACTCCGCCGCCCACCTCCCAGCCCGGAAAAACTTCGGCATCACCGCCGCCTGACAAATTATCTCTCTGGCCTGACAAATCTCAAACCCAATCGAGATCCAATTCATCTCTGTCAAAAGCTCCACCCAATTCAAAATAAAACGGGATTTTTCGCAACCTCTAAGGTGGAGTTTGCTCCCGAAGAAAATCGCCGGCACACAAGGTCACTGGAACCCATCCTCGACTTCCTTACCCTCTGAATCGTGTTCAATTTCGATTTTCTCACCTAATTCTGGGCTGAAATTCTGAATTGTTGGGGGGAGGAACTGAAGACGCTGGGGGAAGAATTGAAGAAGGGGGTACACGGCGGCGACTTCGTCCTCTTCAGCGCCTCCACCGTCATCTTCCACAACTTCTGCAACGACATCGCCGAGTACTTTCCCGCCGTCGTTGTCTCCGTCGAGTACCGACTCGCGCCGGAGAACAAACTCCCCGCCGCCGGAGACATGTTGTAAAAGGAAAGGGGTGGGTCTGGCGGGAAGAGGTGATGGCCGGAGGTGGTGATGGGGGTTTGGTGGTGGTGGCGATTTCAATGGGGTATAAGAAGAAATTTGGGGAAGACATGCTCTTCTCTCATTTTGGAGGCGGCGGCATAACGAGGTGATTGCCGGTGGTGGTGGTGGTGGTGGTGGGAATTTGGTGGTGGTGATTTCAATGGCGAAGAAGAAATTTGGATTTTGGGGAAGACGATATTTTTTCCAAAATAGTGATTTCAGCCCACAATTTGATAATTACAATTTAGTCCTATAACTTTAGATTATTTATAATTGAATCAATCTGGGTCTTTTTCCTCTACCAAAGGGTTTTTATGTCTTTTCCTGTCCTAAAATGTCCTAAAACGCACGCCCAGCTGCATGAACCGCGAGTGTATCCCACGATTCACTCGTAGGGTCCTTATTGTCATTGACTTCCTTTCATAGGGGGGTATTTGCTAATTTTTTTATCCGAGGGGTTTTTTTGCCAATTAGACATTTCACAGGGGAGCCGAGTGCAAATACCCCTATTTTTTTTTAACAGAAGTATATTCTGATAATAAAGAGGAGAGTAGTTTTTTTCTCTGTATTTGGAAAAAAAATGGCAAGAATATGAGTAGGGAAGAAGATGAAGATGTTTTGGGGTTTTCACGAGGAAGAAGATGAAGACTATGTAGCGCGGAAACTTGAATTTCTCAACGTTTCCGCGTTTCGGAAACGTTTCGTGTCGGAAACTCGAAGACACCTGACGTACACCTTATGGGCCAGTTTGCGATTTTTAAAAAGTTAGAAAACATGTTTGAATAGCAATTTTCAAATATTTTTGTTGTTTCTCAAATTATTTACATTGCACCGAAAAGGCGAAATCCCTCGCCCCCAGGGCCCCCATCCCTTGGCCCGACAAGGATTGATGGAGGAATGTAAATCATGGTAACTCAACGGCCCGTTAAGGTAGCGGACCCGGACCTGGTGCCCACAAGGAACCAATCTCATTGGAGTTGAAATTCCCACACTGCGGCTGCCAGGATTCGATCCTAGGACCTTGCACCAACTTACCACCTCCGGAACCAGTTAAGCTACACCCATGCATGTACAAATTATTTACATGATTTAATGATCAGCTGCAAATTAATAGTTGATAGTAAAATTTATTTTCAATATGTTTGTATAAAATATATAAAAAGAATTTATATATAAATAAAAACTTATATATGTTTCTATAGAATATTTAAATACACCCCTATTCTTTTAATATTGACACGTTTCACCGTATCCGTTTCCTCGTTTCCCCGTATCGCAGTTTCCGTGTCCGTGCTACATAGGATGAAGATAATAATTCATTCTTTGTTTTTCCTTTTCTTTTAATTGATTTATTTGTATTAATATTTTTTATTTAATTGCAAAAAAAAAAAAAAAATACCAGGGTAAATCTGTCTTTTGACGAGTGGTCAACGAGTAAATTTTAAATGTGGCGAGTATGTTATTTAAAAATGTTCATAGGGGCGGTTCCAGACATATTTTTAACACATGGACTTTTTATACAGTACAATATAACACAAAGGCTTTATAATCTCCCATTCGCAATCGTAATCAATACGTAATTTCGTCCAAGATTTTGCCAATCCATAGGGGATGCTTGTTTCTATTTTCAAAATCAATTTCCAGTTTTATACTATACATAAAACTGGGATTATGTTTGTTTGAGGATTTTCACTTGAAAATTCCTATTTTTCTTAACATATTTTCCAATAGAAATACACTATTCATATTTTTCCCACTTTTCAAACCTATAATAATACCTACTAACCTATTTCTCTCTCCTCCATTTTTTCTCCCATCTCATTATTAATAATAATAATAATAATAATAATAATAATAATAATAATAATAATAATAATAATAATAATAATAATAATAATAATAATAATAATACTAATAATAATGTAGTTTTGCACGTACTTTCGTAGAGAAAACACACCACAACCAAACATATTCCCATTTCTACAGCTATATAAAACTAAAAATACAACTTCATCCAAACATATTCTCATTTTCTACACAAAAACCAATTCATCTACTTTTTCCATCAAAAATTTTGAAAACTAGAAAATCCCATTAGAAACATAAACATCCCCATACTCTTTCATAATCCAAACATCCGTCTGGCTATATCGCATTGAGGATCAACCATGCAAAGAAAACCCCCAAGAACCATAAGCTGATTGAACACGAATTTATCGACGTATGTTCAGGGTTCCAAATTCAACGATATCTATGCTCGGTAGCGGTATCTAATAAGAGAGCTTGACAATCTTGCAATCATCGATAGTACGTACTATCACACCCGAACCCGTACATGCTAAGGCGAATTTGGTTTCACTAGAAAGATCTCACCTTCATCGTTTACTAACAGAACCAATTAAGCCGTTTGAGTTTGAGCTTTCTTGAAACTGCGTCGTTTTGGATTATGTCAATGGAGTGGATTGATTTAATTGGAGAGATTTGATGAAATTAGGGCTGGAAATTATGGTGCGCCATGGTTTCGACAGGCGTCTGCATTTGCTGACTGATTTTGCGGGGGGACGTTATAAATGTCGAGCAAGATTTCGTGGGGAAGTTCGGGAACCACCATTTCTGATTTTTAGGGTTTTGAGTTTTGAGCTGAGACGGCAAAATGAATTATTAACTAGAAACGACTGACACAAATACACGGTTGTTTTTGCAATTCGTCTAAATAAACTATTGACTTGTCATTTATCTAGGACGGAAGAATTACACTTTCCGTCCCTCAAATTTCACCTGATTCCACATTTGGTCCTTTTTTTTTTTTTTTTTTTTTTTCTTGTTTCTTTCTCATATGAACAAGGGATGAATTAGTTATATATATCCTCCATGTGTCATGAGAAGAATGGAGTTCGATTATGTTAAAAAATCGGCTCATCCATTTTGAATGTAAACTCTTAACTGTAATTACGAAATAAAGAAAAAAAATATGGGAAAAATACAGTTTTCATCCCTAGTTTGAATCGATTTCACATTTGGTCTTCGTGTTCGCAAAAAACACATTTAGTCCCTTATGTTTCAAAAATTCAATACTTTTAGTCATTTCGGTCAATTTTCTGTTAAAACTAACGGAATCAAACATGTGCCCATCACTACCGTAAATGACGGACTTGGTAAATTGATGGAAATGACCAAAAGTGTGAAGTTATTGAAACATGATGGACTAAATGTGTAGTAATTGCAAACTTGAGGTGTAAAAACTGTAAATTTCCCAAAAGAATATTCAATTTAGATCTTATTCCAACAAATTAAACTATCGGCATTCTCTCTTATTTCATTTTATAATCAAATAAATATAATAATGATAAAGGTGCGATGATTATGAAAATACAGAAGAATGTAAATAACGAAAATAAAAATACTGAGAAAGTAACAGTATAAGAGAGACAATTCATAGAGAGATAATTATTAGATTATTGTGGTGGCGGGATTCTCATTCATACAGATGGTAACCACCGGAAGTTATAAGTGAGAGTTACAAGGCAGGGGCGGACCCCCGGTAAGAGACTGGAGGTGATCCCCGCCCACAAAATTTTTTTAACAACTTTTTATTATTTTTTTGTTTTAATTTGATATTTATCTATTAATTTATAGACTGTGGCCTGCCCAAAGTTTAAATTTATGCATTTTTAGTCAAGAAAATAATTCTTTTTTTCATTTCTTAAATGACCGCACCAAAAAAGCCCCGGATCCGCCCATGTTTACAAGGAAGTTAGCTCCTACAATTATAATGGAAGAAGAAATGGGGAAGTTAACACTAGTGAAAGGTCGAGAAACCTCAAAGTAGTTAAGAATAGGAAAACCCGTTTTTCACATTATTTACAAGAAATAACTGTTCTACACTATCTATGAAAGGATGAATATGATCGGGGTTTATTCCATTTTTTATATGTACAAAAATGTCCCTAAGTGATTAAGTTAGTAAAAACAATTTAGTTAATTAAATAAAAAAAAATTAATTAATGCGTCTACATCTACAAATTAATATGTACATGAATATTTAAGTAACATGTATCTCTATTTTGTTTCTACAAGTTCTTCGGTCAACTGTTGGCAGTGGCGAGGCCAGGAATTTTTGTGAGGGTGGGCTTAAACATATCGGGGGTTCGGGGGCAGCGCCCCCGATTTTTTTTTTTTTTTTTTTTTTTTTTGCATTAAGTAGCACAAAAACAAGTTACTAAATATATAATTTAACTATATAGCATAAACCAAACTCTTAAAAGTTGCATTTCAAAATATAATGATGCAATCTCTTTACAAATTACAACTGGCCCTTTCGACCTTTCATGTTTTGAAAATTATTCATAACTGTTTCATTGTCAATTCCCGCGCAAATGTCTCTTTCAATAAAGACAAGCAAAGCATCACTCACCCATTCATCATTCACCCGACTGCGCAATCTACTCTTGATGATACTCATGGCTGAAAATGCCCTCTCGACTGTAGCAGTAGCAACCGGCAACGTTAATGCCAAAGTCAAAATCAAGTAAACCAAAGGATACACCTTGTTTCTCCTAGTTTCTACCATTTTGCGAGCAAGATCACTAATTCCATTCAACCCATGAAATTCACTGCTTAAGCGCATATCAACAATGTAAGTATCCAACTGATCATTGAGCTCACATTTGTCGAGCTCGGTGAAGTCTTGTGGATAAAAATCAACAAGACGAAGTAATTTGTCCTTGTCAAAGTGAGAGAACGAGTTAGATGGATCAAGGCAAGCAATGCACACAAGCAATTCCATTGTCGAATCAGAGAATCGAGCATTTAGCTCTCCAAGTTGCATATCCAAAATAGTGTAAAAAGTCTCAACCTTATAATGATGTAAATTTGTCATTTCTTCTTCATTCCGTCTTCTTCGTCCTCGAGCAACATATTTAACATCCATTTGAGGAACATCAACTTTGTGCTTCTTACAAAATACGGTTACACTTTCAAACAAAAAATCCCACCCGTTTTCTCGAAATGATTGAATTTGAATCTTTGACACTTGAACTAATCTCATTCCATTCACAATATCTTGATCTTTCCTTTGAAGTGCTTGAGATAGCTCATTTGTGATCGCCAATACCTTTTTCATCAAAAAAAGGCTCAATACAAAATCAAATGACAAAAGCCTATCAACAATGTCTTGTGCTTCTGTTCGATGACTTGTACTTGAAGCATCACGGCCAATAACTTCAAGTACATCAATTACTGCATCAAACATATTGATCAAACTCAACAAAGTATTGTAATGCGAGCTCCAACGCGTATCACCTGTGTATTTAAAGAAGTAAATAAAAATAAAAATTTATGAGACATTCTAAAATGGTAAAAAAAAATATTAAAGCCTAAAAATAATATAACCTGCTCGTTTGAGATTTGTTTCTTGATTTAGACCTCGCCCACTTGAAATCTCCCCTATATTGAGTGCATCGATTATGTTTTCATGTTGCTTTTTTCTAAGCAAATCACGACGTTTACATGAAGAACCAACAACATTCAACACTCTTGTAGTAAAATCAAAAAGTGAAGAAATATGATCGTGCTTCTTAGCAACTGCTACTAAAGCTAATTGGAGCTGATGAGCGAAGCAATGAATATAATATGCACAAGGGTTCTCATTCAAGATGAGTGTTTTTAGGCCATTGAATTGACCTCTCATATTACTAGCTCCATCATAACCTTGACCACGTAATTTAGAGACACTCAATCCATATCGAGAAAAAAAATCATCAATAGTTGCTTTAAGAGTCAAAGCACTAGTATCAGTAACATGTTCAACTCCTAAAAATCGCTCAATCACAATACCAGAGTTGTCGACATACCTTACCACTAAGGCCATTTGCTCTTTCATTGAAATATCCCTTGCTTCATCAACCATTAGACAAAACGTCGAATCACCAATATCACTTATAATTTCTTTCAAAATTTCCATTACAATCTCCTTTTGAATATCTGAACATATCATCTTGTGGTTTAATGGAGCATTGTTTAGAGTAACTTCTTTAATATTCGAAGTAATTTGGCCAAAGGTTTTCACAAGTTGAATAAAATTTCCTGGATTAGCCGAACTTTCACTTTCATCGTGACCACGAAATGCTAGTCCTTGTGTTGAGAGATATCGAGCCACCTCAATTGAAGTAATCAAACGCATTTTATATTTAGCCTTTTCTTGATCTGACTGCTTGTGAACAACTGTCTCATATGTTGATTTTGATTCATCAAATCTGCACATTTTCCCCAAGCTTCATTATGTGCACTATTAGGACCTCCTACGTGAGTAGCTAACTTTTCATTTCTCTTCCAATTACTAAATCCTTCAGTAACAAAATGATCACCACCCGATTGACCTCCCATATCTGGTTTGAAAAGATAAGAGCATAAACAATATGCTGCATCTTTGGATACACTATACTCCAACCAAGTACTATATTTGGTGAACCAAGTGTTAATAAATCGTCTATTTTGCTTGCCATAAACTGTGAGAGGAAATGCGTGGTTATACGGTTGGCAAGGACCTTTTTGCAAATATGCTCTACGAACTCGATCTCGATCATTAACATTATATTGTAAAATACAAGGCCTTTGTCCAGGATCTGCATGAAGATCTTCTAAATTAATTTCTCGGAGTGGTTTATTCGATGTAGATTCATCACCTACTTGAAGAGGAGGCGCTTTTCTTTTTAAATATCTCAACATAACTGTTGAACAAGACAAAATAAAATATATTAATAAAAAAATAAGGAGTTCCAAGAAAGTGATCAGAGATTAAGACAACAAAAATTAAAGGAAAAAAGCTCAAAATCCATAAAATATATCACTTTGTCAAGTTTTTTAATAATAAAAATGAATGGAGAATTAATAAATAATAAAATATATGAAGAGTGATGAATAAAAATCCCATGTCTCAATTCTTCATATATTGCTACTGGTGCGTGCATATCATATCCTTTTTTCTTTGTTTTTTTTTTGTTTATTTTTTATTTTTATTTTTATTTATTCATCACTCCAATTTTCCAACTGATCAATTTCCTTCGTTTGTTTGCCAATCACATCCACTTTTAACAAATATCAATTCCTTAAATTCACTTTTCACCATTATCATCGCATTACAAGAAGTTCCCTTTTCCCGATTTTTAGTTCTTTCTTTCCCTCCACTGTCAGAAGATAATACCAAAACAAACAACAAAACCTAAATTGCTATGAAAATCCAAGAAACATGTATATCTAGTCGATTATCAAAATTACTCAATCGACTTCTAAATTTCTAATTGATATTCAGTCTGAAAATTAAGATCAGAGAGAAGATGTGAAACCTTAATCGATCGCCGGTAGGTGGCAATTTCCGGCAAGCAACGGTTGTAGAACACTATATGCAACTGTGCAAGAGAGTGTTGTTTTTCTTTCTTTTTGAGAGAAACGAGAACGACGTTTCGTGAGAGAGACGATGCTTTGAATAGTGGGCTTACGTAGATGGGCTAAAAATAAGTGGATTAAAAATAAATGAGGTTAGATAATATAATTGGGTATTTGGGTGGGCTTTAAAAGGAAATAGGGTATTATATATATATATATAAGAGAAAATTTTTAAGAAGTGAGGGGGGGCTTGAGTCCACCCTAGCCCTTGGGTGGACTCGCCCCTGACTGTTGGCAACTATATTTGGCAAGTACAAGGAGTTGTGATATATTTTATCTGTTTTTGTAGTGTTATCATTCATTTTTTATTTGTCTTTCAGTTTTTTGTTGCAAATTCGAAAAATTTGCAGTACGTCTTAACAAATTTCTTAGCATTGAAATAAAACGGCAACTTCTGTACAAGAGATTAAACTTATTTGCTTGATGTGTATCGAGATTTGAACGCTTTTCAGATTTAGGAATTGGTTTTGTTCTACGCCTACGGTGTTTAATATCGAATTTCCTAGAAATGATATTTTGTTTTGTTTAGGGTGAGTGGATTTTCAGGTTTAGGTAGTGGTTTTGTCTGCAGGGTTTCATAACATAGAATTTCATAGAAATGATTTTTTTTTTCTTCTTATTTAGGTTGAAATTTTATTTACAAATTCGAAGAACTTCATAGAAACTTTTTTTAAAACAACACTTAGGATAATAACCACTAAATGATGAAAATAATGTATATTTAGAATCATTTACAAAGTTACTTTGCCCGAGGATAAATTCTCACTATATTGTTCAAGCATAATTTAGTTTCGAAACAAAAAATAATAAGTCTCATGAAAAAATAAAGGAATAAATGTTAGTCATTTACCTTTTTTTTTTTTTTTTTTTTCGAGTAGATTTAAGTCCTTAACAAGGGGAAGTAGGGGAGGGGGGCTCGAACCCTAGGAGTTTTACCCTATTGGTAAGACTAAGTACCAAGTCTCGTAATAAGGTTTGGTTTTAGTCATTTACTTGATAAAGTATAAGCCTTTGAAAAACAGAAAAGAAGGCATAATATGAAATTTGAAAGGCATTTAATATGTGCATTTAATCTAAACTTAAGTATCATAAAATAGTAATATCATCAGTTAATTATTGATAAAAAAATTGGGGTTATATGCCAAACACCCTTCATTGGGATTTTAATTCTTGATAAATCCTTTATTTATAAATGATATTTGAGATAAATCCAATGGGCCTGAAAAACCATATGTGCCCCCATTAACTATTAATTAATATAATTATTTAATTTAGAAAAAAATATACACATAATCTACACTCAAATCTTCTCCAAAAATTATTCCCCTTATCACGCCAATTCAGTTTTTTTTTTCCTTTTCTTTTTTATTTTGTTTAGTAGTTTTCTTTATTTCGATTTAAAATAGAATTTTGTAATTATTTTATTTTTTATTTTTTTTTATTTTCGGTTTTTTATTTTAAATTTTTTTTTTCTTATTTATATTTTTCATGTTTTTTATTTTAATTTAAAAAAAATGGTTTTATTTCTATTTTCGTTTTTTCATGGTTTTTTCTTTTTTCTTAATTTCATTTTTTTTAAAAATGGTTTTTTATTTTCTTTCCAATTTTTTTAAATAAAAATCAATCTATATAAACATGAAAACCACTCTGTATAACACAACTATATAAACATGAAAACCACTCTGTATAACAACTATATAACATGAAAACCACTAAATTTATCGAAAACCACTATGAAATTAAAGTACAAATTAATATAAAATAAGCATAAATTTATCGAAAACCACTATTGAATTGAAGTAAAATTTACTATAAAATAAGCATAATTCACATTAAAAAAATAATGTAATCCACTATTAAATTAGTGTAATCCACTGTTACATAAGTATAATCTAGTATATGTTCATCCAAAACCACTATTAATAAATGTTCATCCAAAACCACTATTAACAAATGTATACAAACAAATTCGGCATCACTTCGATTGCTCAAGAACCTGAACCAAAAAGAAAAAAAAGGTAACGAATTGTCAGTCTAATTAGTATAATCCACTAATGACACACTCTCAAACCATAACAAATAAAAAACGTAATCCACTATTTCAAATAACCTTTGTGGGCCAACCCTATAAATTCTCAAGAAATTCAAGAATATAACAAAAAAAAATACACAAGCCAAGAAAATGGCTGCCGCCCTCTTTGCACCGCCGAAAAATAATCAATTTTAAAAATTAAAAGAGAACTTACATCTTTCTGCAAGGCTAGGGTTTTCATTTGGGTTTTCAAAGCAGAGACTATTTTTTGATGAAGTGGGTTCTTCTTGGCGTCCGTACAGAAATGGCGTTCGGTTTTCTTCTTGAAACCTGTACTGCTACAGCTGAATTTTGCTCTGTATCTCTCTTTGAATAACTCGGGAACCAAAACTCGACATTGATCGCGTCCCAGTTGCGCTTCTCTTGTGCCGTCGGGCGAACCTCGGTGCGCGAATGGTGGTCGGCCGGAGGGGAAAAAAGAGAGAGTGTGGGGTTGGGGAAGAGAGTGCGGGGTTGGTGAAGGAGATGCCGAAAATAATTTGTTGCAGACGCGGTAGAGATATCAAAACGACAGGGAGAGAGAAGATATGAGTATAAGATCTAGGGTTTGGGGTGAGATATAAGAAAGGGTATAATTGTGAAACTATATTATTTTTTATTAATTAAGAATATTTTGGATTTAACTTAAAAATTGAATTTTTTTTTGGACTTCTTGTAAATGGAGGGTTCCAATGAGGGAGTTTTGTCAAATTATCCCAAAAAAATTAGCACCAAGCTAAGAAAATTATACCACGTGAGATATTATACGAGATTTTTTTTTATTGAAAGTACATAAAAATACATAAAATACATTATTAATAGTAAAACAACACAAGTTAGTATGAGTTACATGATACCATTTTTTTTAATATAATCTATATATATATATATATATATATACCTACTATAAAAGTATGAATAATTGGTAATGGTTTCTTCCCTTTTTTGTGTGTCCAATATTACCCTTTGGCTAATAACTTATTTAGTGGATAATATGGTAAATATACATTACAATAACAATAACAAACTAAAAAAAAACGCCACTACTATGATATAATATTAGGGATAATTAGCAAGAACCCGCATCTAGCTAGGTAAATGAGTTAAGAAAACACCCCCTTCCAAAAATAATTAGAGAAAACCCCCTTACCTAATATTCCACTCAAGTGATATTTTCATAATTCCAAAACTACCCTTAATTGTCTACTATACTCTTTCAAACCCTAATCTTATTTTCTCTTCTCTCCCGTCTCTTCTTTCCCCGTCCATTATCTGTTTTTTTTTTCTCCATTTTATACTTTTCTCTCTCAATTCTTAGATTACTCTCTCTTGATCGGAAGATGAAGAACCAACCGGAACGGAACAACGATGCTAATTCCGTTGAAGCCATTGTCGTCGGTGCCGTCTCCTTCGCCGTCGCTGACGAAGTTGGGTCGGGGTCGTCGTCGGCAGATCTTAACAAAAGCCATAAATTGTCGATTTGTCATCGAAATCGGATTTTTGATGGGTGGTGGTTCTGATTTGGTTGGTGGTGGAGTTGTGATTTTATTTATTTATTTGTAATTAAAAAACCATCATAATATCAAAGTAAGGTGATGATGTGTGTTGTGACGGCGGTGTGGTGACGATGGGGAGACAGATTTAGGGTTTTTTGGTGGATTGAACGGATGAAGGCGCGTGTAGAGAATTAGGTTGTTACCTTAATCGACTATGTACATGTTCATAGTCGATTAAGCTAATCGACTATGCTCTGGTAGTCGATTAAGGTTCATCGACTCAAATTTTTTTTATTTTTTTTTTGGATTTTTTGTTTATTCTTTCAATTGTATAAATCATTTATAATATTTGTATATTTTTTTGTTTTTGTTATATATAGTTGATTTTGTATTTTTTTCGCAGTTGTGATTTGTTATTTTTAGTAGCAGATTCTTAATCGACTATGCTTCACATCATAGTCAATTACTATAACTGATATAAAACAAAAATTAAAAACAAAAAAAAATTAAATAATTAAATAATTTCCTTAATCGACTATGAAGCATAGTCGATTAAGGCTAATCGACTATGCTTCATAGTCGATTAAGGAAACTGATACAGAAAAGACGGAAGAAAAAAAAACGGAAAAAAATAAAAAATAAAAAAAAAATCGCTGAGCGTGACCCAGTGATGATGTGGCGGGTGGGGGCAAAGTTGGAAAGCATAATGGCTGAAAATGGGTGTAGACTTTTCTCAAATGGACTAAAATATTTTGGGCCTCCCTCAATTAAAAAAAATAATGAGGGGTTTTTCTCAAAGAGCCCCATAATATTAAAGAATAATAATTATTTTACTTGTCCACTATCATTTTAATGATAATTATATTTTGTGTTAAAACAAGTAATTAGTTAAATACATATTAATTAGGATAATTATTAGTGCAATGTAATTGGACTATTTCCACAGTTACTATGAAATAATATTAAATAATTATATTTAATTTACTTGCCCCATTACACTTTTAATGATGATTATATTTTGCCGGTAACAATCAAGTAATTTGTTAATACATATGCATCCAATTCCACCGGAAGGTTAAACTTAATTAGAGTATTAGACAAGTCAACTATACAACAAAGCCCATGCAATTCCCCTCAATAATTTGCATAAAGGTTACATTCATGACACACGTTTTGATTAAACTCAAAAAGAACATACCCTTCAATATATCATGTAATTCCAAATATATATAGTGTGTGTATATATATAATGTATGAATATTATGAGATAGTAACTAATAGTATTATGTTTATTAGGAGGCTCATCAAAGATGCAACAAAATGAAGAAAATAAGGTTATTTAAATTCTTCCATCTTTATTCTTGCAATAGCCACTACAATCTTTAATTCCCCATGAAGATACTTTATCTTGTTTAAAGTGTAAATTTAATAACTATTAATCCAATTTATCATTCTTTATTCCTTAATTTTTTCTTTATGTTTGTCTGTAGATCTCGAATACAAATTCGATGAAACCTTCTATTTGACTCATAATGGGTGGATGAATAGTGCATCTCAAAAGGTTAATATATAAAAGTAATATTTTCATTTTTTTTACAATTACATCACTTCTAATTCTAATTGCATTATTTATTTTGATTCTCCGATAGCTGCCTCATATCATAATATGGAATTGTTCACCATCAGAGAGTACATGATCGTGATTTTTTATAATCTATAAGTACACTATTAGAATTAACTAAATTACCTTATTCGAAAAAGCTTTATTTATGATACAATTTTCAAACCTACAATAATAATTATATTTTAGTATGTTATTTTCAATTTGTATTAGTACAAAGTTCGTATTTTAGTGTATTAGTTTTAATGCCTCGATGTGTTCATTTATTAGAATATAAAATTTAAATACATTTTTTGGCTTCAATCTGCTGGTTATGCGACATGGAGTGCTAAAATTGAAGATTATGTTCACCCGATCATTTATTTTCAACGAAATTATTTTGCATGAGATGATCCTGACTCATTGATCTATATAGTGGTTTCCTGGAGGAATTCCAGACTGCATGCTTATTTATGTTATACATTTCAAAGTCTAACACGCACTTTGGATAGGGATAAATTTATTTTGGATTCGAGGTTAGCCATTTGGACTTTAAACGACCGTTCTCCAAATATGGAAAAGTTGAACGTGTTAACGTGAAATCTGGTAATAGATGATTTCATTTTTCATTCCATTTTTTGTATGTATCACTTGAATTGTAGTTGTCGGATTATATTTTATTTTATTTTCTTAAAATTGAGGATGGTTCTTTAGTTTCTTCTATGTTACACTTGATTAATCTTAAATATCCATAACTATTAACAAACAACAATATTATACAATTTATTACGAGCAGTGATATTTTTTTTTACAGTTGTTGAGGGATACCCAATGTATTAGTTACACATTACTTACATTTTCATGATACATGTGAGGCAATGAATTTTCAATGAAGAAAATATTGAAATAAAAATCAAAATAGATTGTTGAATCACTCCATTATTTATTATGATTATTAAACCAAATGAAAAATAATTTCGATCAAAGACCACAATATTGTTAAATCAAATGAAATTCCATTTTTTACGTTTCGTAGAATCGTCAATGAGAAATTGTATCTGAGGGCTTGCGAAGTTCGGGGTTCACTAAATCTCGAGTCCAGATTCAGTGGTTTTGTCTCCAACTCATCAACACCTCGCCTGCAATTTCAACCTGTATCTACAGCCCCAACTCTCCGATGTGAAACCCTTAATATCCCACCAGTGTCTCCCACCAAAGTCGCAACTCCAATCAACAAATTTATAGAAACACAATAATACAATACATAACCAGAAATGTCCCCAAATTCTTGCACCATTCTTCCACAACATTGTGCTTTTTGATTGTTTGTCAATTTCAATGGTGGTATTTGTGAAGTTTCAATAAAAAGGGTGACATTGAATAAATAAAATTTTATTGTTTAATATTCTTAATTTATTTAATGTTAATAGTCATGTATTGTGTAATATTCTTCATTTATTCAGTGTTAAAAGTCATGTTTCAATTTTTTGAATTAAATTTTTTTTATCCCATAATATTCATTTGAATAAAACAGGTTAAATACGTTTTGCACCCGTGATTTATAGCCTATGTAACCCTTAACCCTCCTTTTTTTTTTGGCCAAACTCCTTTTATTACATTAAATACTAATGAAAGTATAAGGGGGTCTGGTTAAAAACATTGTGGGCCTAACACAAGGAAAACGCTACCCCTAAGAGATCAGGAATAAAAACGGACAAAAATAACCCCATTACAATCTATTACACAAAAGCCCCAAAAGTGGTTAAGAAAAGAAATAACTAAAAGAATATGCCTATGTTGATTATTGTAACTCAAATATAAAAAAAGCCCCATATGGGGTTGGAAATGCCAATATCTGAAATATCTCACCACCACCTTAAATTATTCAAGTTTTGCGCTCTTCTCCTACGTTGAGATTGATCCATATTCATCTAGAGTTTCTGCAACTGCATTCCAATCCTTATGGTCGAAAGTCCTATATCCCAAAAACATCACATCGATATGCAATCAATACTGACCTAGGAAGGTCGTTTGCCGAAAAGAATTATTGAAGGTGTTAGTGATTGTGCGCCCATGCCGCAAGGGGATCGGCAACCGATTTTTTTTGTCTCTACACACGCGAACACTTGAAAGTTGTTGCATGAGATTAACACATTGATTATTTTGCATCAAGTAGTTTACATCTTAAGTTTTAAAAAATAATAATAAATAGAATAATTGAAAAATAATTCACATAACTTATCAAAAATATCAATTGAAAAGTCAATACAGTATTTAAAACTGTAAAAGTGTATATTTATTTGGTATAATAAATAGCATAACCATACAATAATTATTGGATCATATAGAATTTAAAAGTAACTAATATTAAATTATTGAAAAAACATTGATAATAATATATATTATATAATAATGAATGAAAATATATTTTCAGAAATTAATGAATTAAAATAAATTAAAATACTTAAGTTTGTTCAATAACTTAATTCTTAGTGTTTTTAAAATTTTATTTGTTACAAAAACAATTACATGTTATGTTATTGAATTTGTATCTAAGGCAAGATAATATTTTTAAATATTAAGATATGACATTTTGTTAATATATATTTTAATAATATAATATAATTATTCTTTTTAGTTATTCTATCCAATAAAAGATAAATTGTGAATCTATTAAAATTGGGATTATTTGTCAAAATCCCCTCGTCAGACGTGTACTTATAATTGACCCAAATTTATTTTGCATTTTTAAGATAAATCTAAAACACTTTTTATTAATAAAAAATAATTAAATATTACCATTATACCCTTACTCTATTCTAAATCACGTTCCCAATAAATCCACAAATCTCGCCTTTTGATTTTCTGTATATATCACGTTCCCAATTAACGCACAAATCTCTCTTCCGCCTCTCTCTTCTTTTCGATGATTCTTCCTCCATTACGACAGTACAATCGGCAGAAGATGATGATTGGGGTTTCAGATACGAGGCGTTTGATTCGCATCACAGTGGACTTGGCGTCATCTATGGCGAGAGGCGAGGCGGTGGTTGGGTTCAGTTGCAGGCGGACGCCACCGTTTGTTAGCACCCCATGACGACGAAGGCCTTGCATCAGAAATAATTGCGACGGTCGAAGGATGAATCGTAGTAGGTGGTAGTGCGAATGACGGGCTGCTTGATTTCGGGGTTGTGTAGGCCGTGCGGCATTGTTCATCATTAGTGAAAATTAAAAAAACTAAAAATTAAATAAGCTCTTCTTTTGAAAGAATGATTTCAAATTTCAAAACTGCAGCCCAGCTACAGACATGAGATGTGAATAGAGACAGAAAACTAAGCAATGTCATTTTCGAGTTTGTTGACTTATTCAGGTTCTGCATTTCATGCTCCCTGCGTCAACAAATACAGAGCAATTCCAAATTATCCAAATTAATTTGTGTGATCATTCAATTAAAAAAAAAAAAAAATCAGACGAAGACACGCTTAACTTGCGCGTAGATAAAATATCTCTTCGTGAATGGATTGGACCGCGTCTACCATTTTCTTCAATTCGATTTCCATTAGCTGGTGGTTACAAGAACAACAAAGATCAATATTTGTAAAAAAACAAATCAATGCAATAAAAAAAACATCAATGTTATGTGGTGCAATGAGGGATAATCACATACATCAACAGAATCTTTCTTGGCAACAATGGACCAATCCTTGGCTGCCACGCCGGACTTCCAGTCAAAGTCAACGGTCATGGTTGTGTACATATTTTTATAGTGGTTTTCAATATTTTACATAAACCACTATAAAAATCTGTACAAAAATTATAGTGGTTTTCAATAATTATTGTACATACTTTTATATAACTGTATACACAGAGTGGTTTTTATGTTGACATAGTTGTTATACATAGTGGTTTTCAAGTTTACATAGTTGTTATACAAAGTGGTTTTCATGTTATATAGTTGTTATACGGAGTGGTTTTCATGTTTATATAGTTGTTTATACAGAGTGGTTTTCATGTTTATATAGAGTGGGTTTTATTTAAAAAAACTGGAAAGAAAAAAAAAACCATTTTTAAAAAAATTCGAAATTAAGAAAAGAAAAAAAACCATGAAAAAACGAAAATAAAAATAAAACCATTGTTTTTAAATTAAAATAAAAAAAACATGAAAAATATAAATAAGAAAAAAATAATTTAAAATAAAAAACCGAAAATAAAATAAAAATAAAAATCAAATAGTTACAAAATTTTCTTATAAATTGAAATAAAGAAAACTATTAAACAAAATAAAAAAGAAAAGGAAAAAAAATGAATTGGCGTGATGAGGGGAATAATTTTTGGAGAAGATTTAGGTGTAGATTATGGGTATAATTTGTTTGTAATTAAAAAAATATACTAATTAATAATTAGTGGGGACATATATGGTTTTTCAGACCCATTGAATTTATCTCAAATATCATTTATAAATAAAGGATTTGTCAAGAATTAAAATCCTAATGAAGGGTGTTTGGCATATAGCCCCATTAAAATTTGATATACAAATTGAATGTTGTTGTTTTTATCAGTAAATTAAATGATGATTGAGGGGGTAAGTGTTACAAATAATACTTTAAGGTGGTAAGTGTTACATATGGTATAATTTAGAGGTAAAAAATATGGTACAATTTAATATGGTATAATGGCTAATAGGGGGATTTTTTTAGTTTTTAATACTACAGGGGAGTGAATGCGACATTTTTAATACTACAGGGGTGCAAACTCTATTTTACCCATTTTCTTAAAATTAAGGATGATTTTTTACTTTCTTCTATGCTCACTTGATTAATCTTAATTTCCCATACCGATTGACAAACAACAACATTATACAATTTATGCCAAATTTGTAATTATGAGGACTATTTTTGTTTTAAGTTATGGAGCGATATTCAATGATTTAGTTATACATTACTTACATTTTCACGATACATGTGGGCAATGAATTTTCAATGAAATCTAACGCACATTTAGAAAACAAGACTATTCACAACATTATGAATAAAACTATTTTTCTTTGTTTTAACCAGTGTTCTAAATAACGGCTGTGGCGGTCGATATATCGGCCGCCATATCGGTATCAGTTATAAACCTTTACGATTTTGTTGAGGCGGTTCGGAATATCGGTTTTTTACGGCGAGGCGGTTTGTGGCGGTTTTTTGACGGGTCAAACTGATATATCGGTCAACAAATCGGTTTTTTTTTTATTTTTATTTTTTTATAAATTAAAATTAAAATGAAAATATGTTTTGATTTTTTGTTTTTCTCCAATTCTTTCAACTTCCAAAACCAAACCAAGTACTACCCCGCAATTTATGCTTTGTTGTGTTTATATTAATTGTTAATGCGAAAGACTTGCGTAGTGTTTGTATTTCGTAAGAATCTTTTATTATATTATGATCTTATTATTTTTAAATTTCTTTTATTTATTGAGTAATTAGAATTATATAATAACATATGAATGATAGGATAGAATTATTTTTAAATATTCTTTTATATATATTTTGAGTATTTACAAATAATATTTAGATATATATTACACTAAATTTAAAAATCGAAATATTTCCGATTTATCTCCGATAAATCACCGCCGCGCCGATTTATCGTGTGGCGGTCCCTAACCGCCACGTACCCGATAACCGCCTTTTAGAACCTTGGTTTTAACTAATATTGCTCAACAACTTTACAGATAATCCCCTTATTTATCTTGTTTGTGTAACAAATTTGCATCTCGCTCACACCATTCTTAAGAATGTCAAATAACATGGCATCAACATATTATATATTTATTACGATACGTGCAACGCACGTGGACTTTTCTAGTAATTGAAAAGGTGAGAGTACTTCAGATATATGGAGTATAATTTATGCAAATTGTCTATCTTTAAGATTAAAGAAAAGTTAATTCGTCCAAATTTCAACAATAAAAATTGATACAATGTTGGAATAGTTTATAATTTTCAATTAATAATATTGAGAAATTGGGTTTTTTGCAAGAACCACCCCTCTGTAATTTCGAATTGCCGAAAAACCCCTCGTGTTAAAAAAATTAGCAGGAACCCCCCGATGAAAATAAGTCAAAGGCAAAAAAGTCCTTGACAGCATGTCGTGTGTTGTACGCGCGGCTTGTGTAACTGAGAGTGTAATTTTTAACGTGAAAAGTCAAAAATACCCTCTTAAATTCTTTTATAAATAAACATAAATCTAATTGGGTTTAAATGTAAATAATAGAAACTTTTGGATCTAATTATAGTTTTCAAAATTTCTTACCCAACGAAAAATTCTACAGCCGAATTTAAAAAAATAGACTTAATTAGAAAAAAAAAAAATAGATCTCAATTTAACTCGTCTTCATCCCAAATTTCCTCCTACTGCCGCCCCTTTCCTCCCACCACCGGCCTTCTCCAATCTTCTCCTCCGCCGACAACTTTTCTTCACCAACGCCAAGTGCTTGAACCTCCCAGCCCTCCGCCGTTCATCGGTAATGGAGGATTTTCAGCACATGCGTCCTTCAACAACATTTTTTTCCGGCGAGAAGAACCGGATCCGACTACGGGAGTTATTTCGGCGAGAAATAAGGGTGGGGGCCTAGTTAAAGGTAGATTCGATGTGGGCAAACATTTTCCGGCCAAATTGAACAGTAACACTTCGATTCTGGCGAGTTGTGCGGAATGATTACTGAAAAATTATTAAAATTCTAAGGAGATGAATGTTCTGGGGAGGATTTGATTGAAAAATTATTCAAAAAATGGAAAGAAAAAAAAAATAATAAAAAATAAAATAAAACAATAGCTCAATTTTTTTTCACTTTTTTTTTTTTTGTAAAATTTCCTTTTTTTTAATAAGATTTTCCAGTGTGTTGGGGAAGATTGCTTTGGGTTTTGTTCGAAGTTCGTTTTTTACTTTTTTTTTTTTTAACAATTTCATGTTTCTTTCGTAGGGGTAAATTAGTCATTGTATGTAAGTCAATAGCTAATTTTAACGAAAGGGACAGTGTGCTTAGTATAAAACAACATAGGGGGGTTTGTGCTAATTTTTTTAACACAGGGGGTTTTTTAGCCATTCGAAATTACACAAGAGGTTATATGCAATTAGCTCTTGAGAAATTATAACAAAGATTGTTAATATGTTTAATAGAACAAAGATTGCACTGACTCTGTGGATGTATCAAAGTATTATTGTCCTCGGTATGGGTATCAAATTAGCATTTGAAAACTCAATTTGATATGCATTGAAGTTGTTCTAATTACCAAAATATTCACAACTAATAGATAATAAAATGCAACATACTTCTCTTAGATAAACAAAGAAAAATAAATGCATCAACAACAAGTAAATATACTCACGAGGGAATAAATAAAGAAATAACAAAGCACTTTCAAAAATTTGAAGAAAAGGGCACAATATAAAGCATTAAAATTATTATAAGAGCAAAAAGAAAAAAAATGCTATCATGAATACATATAGGTAGAAAGTATGAATTTGTTTATGTATTGCATTATTAAAGTTAGATTTTATTGAAAATGATTATCAATGTACTTTTGCATATTTTTTTAATATATAACACTATTTTGAACAAATATATTAAAAAAAAAATAATTAATACGTGCAATCGCACGTACACTTTTCTAGTTAACTAATAAATGTAAAATAGTTGGTATATATTCTGATAATCATTATATTGTAGTCATTTTATAATAGCCACGCTTCCATTGTGGACTTCTATTCTACCAACAAATGCAAGTTGACTTTATTTGAGCGAGAGAGACACCGTGCCTTGATATACTCTCTCTGTTCTATGATAACTGTTTTTTTTTATAATTATTTTTGTTCCATATTATCTGTCAATTTACATTTCCAACACTGCATTAATTGTGTAATTATCAATTTTATTCTTATTAACTATCTCCAACACTCTCTGACATTAATTATTGGCAAGGGCACTTTAGTATAAGAACATATATTTTTCTAATATTAAGCAACATTTATTGAGATCCTTAATCCTTGTGCACAAGCTAAAAACGACAATTATAAAGGAACGGAAAGAGTATATACATATACCGGTCAACTGTATTAAAACGTATATGTTTCATAATGCCTCGTGATATGTTTTTTTTTTTTTTTTTTTTTTTTAATTTTGTTTTATATAATAAAGGAACCAGCAGTCGATCATATAAATGCACTGGGTAAACTTACACTCTCGTATAACAACTTGTAAATTCTACGAGAGATGTAAATCACACTAGGCTAACCATGTGTGACAAACTCGACCTAGTGACCGTTGACAAGGAAATTCAAATCTGGTTCAATTGACACAGACTCACTTACTCCAAACACTAGGCTATCCCTTGAGGAACCCTCGTGATATGTTATATTAATAATACGTCATGGCTGGACATTGGCTTGTACTCATTATTGAATTTCATATGGGTTACATGATGCACTAATTGTGCGGATCGGAATGACAAATAGAATAAAGGGACTATTAGTCATAACCCCTCTAGTGTTTTTATAATAATGGGGGATCCAGTCATATTTTCAATATTGGTACGAAACCCACTATTTTAATTAATCCCGAAAATAGCCTTCTTGGAGCCACGTTATGTCTAATAAAAAAAATCACTAGAAATCTGGAAAATAAACTGCTGAAACGTGTGAGATTTTATCCCCAAATCTCGCTTTCCCTAATCTTTCCATAACTCCCACCGCAAAACCTAAATCTGCTAAACGACTACGCCGGCGACAAAACCTA